AGGGAGGGAGGGAGGGAGGGAGGGAGGGAGGGAGGGAGGGAGAGAGAGAGAGAGAGAGAGAGAGAGAGAGAGAGAGAGAGAGAGAGAATATGAAGCCCACCATTCATTCATCTTCTTGGCTTCATGACTGAGGTTGTCTTATGTCCAACCTCAAACCCTTGCCATCACATCTCCCCAACATACATCCTCAGCCTATGAGCTAAAATAATCCCCTGCTTAAATTGCTTTTTTTCAGATGTTTGATCAAAGCAATAGGAAAGAAAGCACTTATGTCCCCCGTCTCCCTAGTGTAGGTCAGGACATCTTAGCATTTCTACTGAGCACAGCTTGGCACCTGAGAAACTTTTACACGACTCTGTCTGCAGGAATCTAAAGCAGGCACACACATCAAGCATTTACTGGCAATCAATCCAAAAGAAATTACAACAGTTCCTTGGGGCTGGAGAGATGACTCAGCAATTAAGAGTGCTGGCACTGAAGACTAGAGTTCAGATCCCAGCATGCATGTAAAAGCCAGACATGGTCCTGTTCACCCCTCTAACCCAGCGCTGAGGGGGCATGGAGAGAGCAGAATCTCTGGGCATGGCGGCTGCCAGCCTAGAGGAAATCTGTGAGCTCAGTTCAGTAAGAGACCCTGCATCAAAGAACAAGGCGGAGGATACCTTCCTGTAGTTTGCTGGCATGCCCACCCACACATACATGTGCATGTACACCACATATACTTCACACGCATATATACACACATACACATAAAAATAATAACAAGAGGCCGGGCGATGGTGGCGCACGCCTTTAATCCCAGCACTCGGGAGGCAGAGGCAGGCGGATCTCTGTGAGTTCGAGACCAGCCTGGTCTACAGAGCTAGTGCCAGGACAGGCTCCAAAGCCACAGAGAAACCCTGTCTCGAAAAACAAACAAAAAAACAAAAAACAAAAAAAATAAGATAACAAAACCAGATATTTACCACAAATAATGTTACCTTTCGGGACTAAAGTAAATTTGCATATGAATGACACGGATGTGCTTGCTTGGGTAACACTACATCCAAAGACACACTGACTTGATCCATGCTGAAGAATAAGGGTAGGACCATGTCAGGAGTCCCCAGTTCTGTAACTAAACCATTATGTTTCTGTAAAAGCAGAGATTTTTGTATGTACAACTGAAAGTGCTGTGATTCATGGCATGCCAGTCTCCAGGGAGAGTCTCCAGTGTGCACCAAAGTGTGTCAGGCGGTGTCAGTGTCTGGTGTGATCAGGTCAGAGTTGTAGCATGCGATGTTCTGTTTAGAGTCACAGCTGCAGGAAAGTCACAGTAGGCAGGACAGGTCAGGACTCCCCACTTCCATTATGTGCTTGATTTTGAATTCATTTCAGGTTTTCTGGGTTCAGAATCCTTTACTGCTGCCAAACTTTTTGTGAATGCTACATTCAGTTAGCTGACCCAGTTGAGAGCTTCAGTTTAAACAGCCTTGCTTTAGTCCGGCCTCACGCCTAGCCACTCAACTCTAATTAACATTTCCCCTTGTCTCTTGCTCAACTCAGATCTCTTTCTTTCTTTCTTTCTTTCTTTCTTTCTTTCTTTCTTTCTTTCTTTTTTTTAAAGGTTTATTTATTTCTTTATTTCACAGTTGTGAGTGTTTTGCCCGCATATATGCATGGGCATCGTGTGCATGTTTGTGTGGTGTTCAAGGAAGTCAAAAGTGGGCATCAGATCCTCTGGAGCTGGAATCGGAGGTAGTCATGAGCCAGCATGTGGGTACTGGAAATCAAACCTGGATCCTCTTAAAGAGCCACAGGTGCTTTTAACCACTGAGCCATCTCTCCAGCCTGCCACCCCCCACTTTTCACTTTCCTCACTCCAGCCTGAGATTCTTTCAATACACAAATCTGGTGAGAGTCCCCACTTAGAACCCTCATTCATTCTAGTGACTTCCAGTGATTCCAGTCACACTGTGCTGACACCAGAAGAACCTACATATTGCTTTCCTTAGTCCTCCGGGCTGTAAGAAGTATAAGTAAAATATGCTTATTTATTTATTATTTATTTGTAGCTCTGGCTGTCCTGGAACTGGCTATGTAGACCAGGCTGGTCTTGAACTCAAAGAGCTCTTCTTTTTTTTTTTTGTTTTTGTTTTTGTTTTTTTCGAGACAGGGTTTCTCTGTGGTTTTGGAGCCTGTCCTGGAACTAGCTCTTGTAGACCAGGCTGGTCTTGAACTCACAAAGATCCGCCTGCCTCTGCCTCCCAAGTGCTGGGATTAAAGGCGTGCGCCACCACCGCCCAGCTCAAAGAGCTCTTCTTGTCTCTACCTCCTGATTGCTGGGGTTAAGGTGAGCAACCCTGCACCCAGCTGTACTGTCTTTTCTACCAAGGGGAGTCTTTACTAAACTGTTACATAGAGAGAGAGAGCACAGGCTCCATCTCCTTTGTCTCAGGTTTCCTCTTCTCAGCAGAGTCCTGTAGCACTGGATGCCATGAATTCTGGAGATGCTCATAGCCTAACATTTGTCTAAGATTAAAGTATGTGCCCAAGGCTGCATCCTGTGCCAGGTGGTGTTGGCACAGAGCTTTAATCCCAGCACTTGGGAGGCAGAGACAGGTGGATCTCTGAGTTCAAGACCAGCCTGGTCTACAGAGTGAGTCCCAGGACTGTAGTGGTATATAATTTTTCTTTTGATAAATAAATCTTTTGTGACGACCAGAGGCAAAACTAAAGTCACTAGAGGTCAGACAATGGTGACGTGCGCTTTAATCTCAGGATTTGGGAGACAGAGTTGTTTGGATCTCTGTAAATTAAAGGCCACCCTGGGCTACAAGATCAATGCAGAAACAAATCCAGGTGGTGGTGGTCTACACCTTTAATCCCAGCACTAGAAGGAATAGGAAATGAGAGGAGAGAGAGGTTTAGTCTGCTTAGTCTGCAGTTACCTGGCCTTGGTAGAGGTAAGATGTCTCTAGTGGCTTGGCTACTTTGCTTTTCTAGTTTCCAGGTTGAACCCCAATTTTTGCCTTGGGTTTTTTATTATTCATGCTACTTTTGTTACCCAGCATGGGGCTCGAAGCCACGACCCTGACATTAAGAGTCTCATCCTCTACTGACTGAGCTAGCCCACTGAGTCGAGAGAGGCTTAGTCTGTTTACGGTTGCCCAGCCTTGGTGGCGGTAAGACATCTCTAGTGGCCTGGCTGCTTTGCTTTTCTGGTTTTCAGGTTGAATACTAATTTTTACCTCTGGGTTTTTATTATTCCTGCTACACAGGTCAGCCAGGGACTCACAGAAAGTCGATCCCAAAATAAAACAAAACATACCAACAAACAAAAAAAAGCTGCACCCTGTTCTCAAAAATTACACTTTGATTATCAGTTGTACAGGGTTCGATGCTGTTAGCACCCACCTAAGCTGTGAGGCCTAGTATTGCCCACCCAGAGTGAAGGACAGAGTAAACGTTTCATTGGTAGTAAAAATCCAGAGGGACTCCCACTAGGTGCACCTGCCGGCCCAAATCCCCTCTGCAGAAGACAATTTGCTTGCTCCTAGTGCTTTGGACTGTGTGGTCATTTCCCTGAGATCCCAGACCCATTTCTTATGTGTGTCCCTAAAAACGGAACCAGCCTCACACTCCCCCGCTGACCCTAGAAGCTGAACGGCCACTGCTTCATTCTTGCTCCTTCAGAGCAATCTGTGGTCTCCTGTTCACTGCTGTATTGCGTGACCAGCAGGTCTACACACTAAGCCTCTAACAAATGATTGCTATTGAATTCATGAACAAATAAACGAGTGAGTCAGAGGTCAGGGGCTGAACCATACTTTAGACAATCAGGCCTGAATCACAGCGCAGTGAGGGGTGGGGTGGGGAAGAGGGAGAATGAGGTGGGAGATGGGGGGAGGGAGGATGAATTTGTAGGAGGAGCCAGTTTCTCAGTCTACAGCCTGAGCTGGCTTCCTGGTGCAGCCCAGACTAAAACTCCAGTTCACGAATTTAGACCCCCTCCCCCACGGTGCTGGGTTTGGGGTTTTGTTTTGATTTTCTCCTTGAACCAACTCAACCAGTGAATAAAGGCTGCAAAGCAGGGATATAGGGGCAGCTGTTCCTTGATAACCCCGCCTTGCTGGTCCCTCCCTCACCAGCCTCGGGTCCCCTGGGTCGCTTAAGGCGACCCTGCACAGAGCCTATGGGCCAGTCCTGGGCCTCCCGGGCGCTGTCCATGGTGCCCGCACATAGACCGCGTCCGGGCCTGCGCTTCCCTAGCTCACCGCTTGTAGTCGGAGGAGAAGATCCCGCCGCTCGCCGGGTCATGGCCATATTCCGGTTCCCCGGGGCCGGCCGAGCCGCCCTTGTCTTCGCTGTAGGCTGGGGCGGCCGACATGGGTCTGCGCTGAGGAGCGAGTGAGCGGCTGGACTGGGCTACGGCCGAGGCAGGGGACGCAGGCCTAGCTCTGCAGCGCTGCAAATCTGCGCGGTGGAGGCTGCGCGCGGATTCGGCAATCAGGGCTGCACTCTGAGATTCTTAAAGGCACCAGTACCACCGCAGAGTGCAGGGGTTTGGGTGAGCTCACCGGCAGGAGGAACAGCGCCTGCCTCGCCCCAATCTCTCAGAACCCCCTGTCACCCATGTCTCCGCACTTAATGCAACTGCAAGCACCTGCAGGTCTGACAGTGAACCAGCACAGCCTTGGGACGGATGTGGACCTCCTGTCGCCAACCCTGATCACCTGACCTCCAAGGGTCCGCCCACCCACGCAGTGAAGGAAGGGGGTACTCTGAAAGAAGGCACTGATTGAAACATCGGCCTTGGAGAATTAGGGATGGTACCTTTCCAACCTCATTTTTCACACAGCCTAAATACCTCTGGCGGCCACCTGCCTACTACATGAGAAGCTTAGCAGCTTCCTGGAAGAAGAGGAATTTAAGGGCAGGCTGACCCAGGAAACAAGCACAAGGGCATTCTGGGAGCAGAGTAATTCCAGATGAAGTAGAGAGAACAGCCAATGTCTTAATTAGGTTTTAGAAAATACTTTAATGATTCTTTCTGAAGCCTCTTCTGGCCTGCTCAGTAGGGCCCAAGGTCTCATTAATCCATGGTTAAGTCCAAGTCCATTGGCATCTAGGAGGGAAGAGAGAAGTAACAGACTGAGTTAGGGTCTAGTCTAACCTCCAGGTCTCAGGAACTTCGTGATTCCTGGAGCTCAGCTCCCAGGACCCAAGGGAGGGAGGGGGAAGGGAGAGAGAAGGAAACAAGGAAGGAACAGGACTGGATGGAGAGAAAGCCCTAAACTAGGCTGATGTATGGGTTACATCTCTTTGGGCTAGAGTTTGCGCAGGAGGCTGAGTGGTTGGAACCCCTGGTAAGGCCTGGAGACTGGAAGACTTCCCAAGGGCTGTCTTGATTTGCAGAACTAGGATTCTCAAAACTCCAAGATCAGAATTGGTGGGCTGCTTTGAAATGGGTGGGACTCAGCAAGCTGAACTTTGGGTCAATGGGAGGTGAAGGGCTCTCTCTAGTGGGCCCAATATGGCAAATAAGGCTCTGACTGGTCTTGTCCTCCCCTTCCCCTCACCCTGCTGAACTGTTAGATGATGTTCCTAAGCCAGCCACCAAGAACTATTTCACTTCATCTTCCTGAGGCTGACCACCAAGGTCCAGTATCAAAATATTTAAACTCAGCAATCAAAAGGCCCTTTTGTCGACCCTAATTAGCATGCCCAATCAAAGCAAGCCAACTCATCCTAACAAGGAGTTACCCTTTTCTCTTCATAAGCTGCCATTTGCCTATGGGCCACATCTGCCTTCCCTTTATCCAAAGGCAGTCCTTTGTTCTTCTGAGGAAATATCTCTTCCCCTTCTCCCTTGCCCCTTTCTCCCTTCTCCCTTGTCTCTTATTCCCTGCCGTTGTCCCTCTGGGGTAATTCTCCTTTGTGCTGAGAACTTGGTCTTGGTGTGTCCTTCTAGAAAGTTCTACTGAAGGAAGAAGAATTAGGGGTTGGGCTAGCACTGGGGCAGGAGATTGGTAGTATTCAGTAAATATGTCTGGCCAGGATATAAGAACTGGGGCTTGAGGCCAGCCTGGCAAGGGGCTCAAAGGGGCTTCATAGTGTGTAACTTCAACAAGTAGGCACAGTGATTTGTTTCTGGGGTGTTTTGGATGCCAGAGTGAAGACCTGCAGTTTAGAAGAACCTGGACCGAATGTAGTAGGGGTGAGGAACAGCTGAATTTCGCTGGAGCAGGTTGGCATTTGTTAGCAAAGTTGGGGCTGGCATGGGGATATACAGCTAGAGGAGAAGAGCTTACTGAGTCCATGCCCAGCAGGTTCAGGGCAAAGTGCACACAGTTGCTGCTGGTTGGATGATAGGGAGGAGGATCACTGTCCATAGCTTCTCGCACCCGGCGCTCCAGCTCCTCAGGGTCAATGTGGCGGCGTCTGCGAAGCACTCGCCAGAGCCTTCGAGAACGCTGCAGTGCCCGGTGACCCTGTTTGCACACCACACCTTCACAGTAACCCAGAAGCGTCTGTAGTCCAGCGCTGCTGCTGGAGGTCCTGCCTGTGGGGATAGCAGAGCCCAGTGCAAACAGGAGCTGGCATTTCCTCAAACTGAAGTCCCACCCCTGGGCTGCCCCTCCCCTTTTTAGAGACCTACACTTTCATCCCAGGGCAGTCCCCACCCCACAACTCACCAAATTTGTTTTGCTCACCCTCAAAGTGTATGATCTCTCCGTGGCCGCAGTAAACACCCACGTGGGCTCCAAGCCACTGTGCCTTAGGAGACTGCAGTCTGAACAGGAAGAGGTCTCCAGGCTGAGGGTCCCCTTTGTCTAACTCCACCTCCTGGAAGTGCTGACCCATGAATGCCTCAGAGAAGAAGAACTTCAAGGTCCTGGATGCCCCAGCCAGGGTCTAAGAGGAGAAATGGCACAGACTACAGGGTGGATGCAGAGGCACAGCTGGGTCATTCTGCTCATCACAGAGGTAGTCCTGGCTTGGGGTAGGGCCCTAGGCATAAGGTCTTCACCGCTTTCTGCCTCAATACCCATAAGGGACTCCAGAGATCTGAAAACCACAGATGTACCGTGCTCTGAGCCACCCTTAAGGATCCCATACTGTGCAGCAATTGGGACTTCCTCACCACACAGTTATCCCATATCCCCAAATCCTGCCACTCTTTTCTCCTCCCTCTCCCGGTTCCTGGATCTCCTTCCTCATCGGTCTTCCATCTTGGTATTCCTACAAGCAACACTGGATTCTGGGTGTCAGCGGGTACCTGGGTTGAGAAGTAGGCCTGAAGAAACAGGAAAACTTCAGTGAGATCTGGACCATGGTAGACACCTCCCAAGTCGAATAACCTCAGTAGCAAATGTCCACTCATTCACGCCTTGTTACCATTCTCAAGATAGGTGTAGTATTCTTATTTTCAGGAGGACATTGAGGACTGGCAAATCTTGCTAGAACACATACACACAGCTAACCTGTACCGTGCGACCATCCTGCATCCCATGTACTAAATAAATACTGTGAGTTTATATGTGTGTGTGTGTGTGAGAGAGAGAGAGAGAGATAGATACACACATAGAGAGAGAGAGAGAGAGAGAGAGAGAGAGAGAGAGAGAGAGAGAGAGAGAGATATTCAGTTTAGTTTCTCATCTTTACTGGGAACAGAGGGCGCTGGAAACTTGGAAGGATGATTTCAGTGCCCTGGTTCTACCTGAGCTTTGGTTTCAGAGGAGAGAGAGAGAGTGGGGAGCACTATATTGGGGATTGCTAAAGGACATGAGAGCAACAAGTGACCCCTCACCCCAGGACTCTGGGCATCTCTGTGTCCTTGTGCCCTTGGTCAGGGGTCATTCTCTCTAACATCCACCAGATAGGGAGAACACCTTCCTCCCAGCTCCCCTCCCATCCCATACCCACGGGGTCAAGCAGAAGTCACAGCTGTGGAAGGCAGGGGACTGTCCTGGCCCCTGTTGAGACCGCTGGTACCCTGCCTGGGGAGGAGACAAGATGAGGCAAGGACTTCTGCTCCATTTACCTGGCATGTGATGCTCATCTAGGGAGAGAAAAACCAGTCATGACCACCGGGTTCGTCCCCTGTCCTCTCTGCTCTGGCTGCTCAGTATCTGGGTGTTATGCATAAACCTGCTCTAGATGGCTGATTGCACGTTGAGAGACCTGTCCCCTCTCCATATGGGACATCAAAAAGTCCCTTCTCTCTCGACCTCAACTTCCTCATCTGTAACCTGGGGACATTAATGTTGGTGAACTGGGCATCATCTGACCACTGTGAAGCACTGAGAGCTCTTTGTGATCCTTACCAGGCCAGAGGGTTTATCTAAGGTTTATCTGAGGTCTAGTTGGCTCCTGAACTTGCACTTTTGCCTGAAGTGGAGGGCTGCAGAGAATACCTTTCTCGGTTGAGAGGAGAAGAACAATAAGTCCCAAAGGCTGGTAGCCTCCCGTGACCCCTGCCTCACAGATTAAAAGGAATCACTCAACCAGAAAGCCCAGACTCTCCCTCAAATTTCCCACTGTGGGGGCTGAGGGCAGAGAGCCACGCTGGCTGCCATCAGCTGGGCCTTTGCCCCTTCACACAGGGCTCCAGGTCCATGGCTGCTGTTCCACCAATAATGAAAAATAATGCCTGTTGCCAAAGCTCTATGAAGGCTCCAGTTATCCCAACAACAATGTCATGTAGATCCTACTGTCGTTCTCATTGGGAAGAAGGGAAAAATGGGTCTGGGGAGGTTGTTATGGTTACATCTAAAAAAGCAGTAGAAGCAGTGTTCAGACTGAGCTGATCTGACTTAGCCAGGGTATGGGACTGTCTCTGGAATGCCAGGATCTCTTGAATGATACATTGAATCCCACCTCCAGCCCCCACCATCTGTTTACTTCCTGACTAGAGGAGCAGCTACCCTTGCCTTTAGCATTCATTCATTTAGTTGTTAAAAGGAGAAAGAGCAACACCCTGGAACCATCAGAGCCTGGGACACAAGTTTTCCAATTCCACCGCCCAGGGCCTGAAAATGCTGCCCACCCTTTTGGGGATCCAGGTGGAGGCCTGAGTCCTTCTTTCTGTCACCCTGGCTATCAGAAACAGAGCAGTGTCAGGGTGTCTCTGTGACTGACTTTGGGGTCACTGCTCCCAGCCAGGTACCTACAGCTAAAGCAAGGTCAGAGCGGAAGCCCAACTCTTCTGACCATTTTTCCCTTTCTGGGGGCTCTGGCTACTGTCACCCCCCCCAAATCTGAGCTCATAGCTAAGCTGCTTACCTTTTAGTGACCACACTTCACTCCTTATGAGAAGTTCGTCTTCTGTGACCAGAGGAAAGAGGACAAGTTTCCATGGATCAGGCAGATAAAGGGGCTAAGCAGGAAGTTCTGGGGCCAGATTCTGGGCACCGGTGTCTTAGCCAATCTGAGTGAGGCAGTGGCACTTCCCCTATGACCATGGGGTGGGCAAGATGCCAGAGCCTGTGGGCCTGGGTCCAGGTAGGTAAATGGCTCCTCCTTCCCCTCCTCCCACCTTTCATCATCTGGTCTCTGACATCCATGACTGCCCGTTCTCCTCAGCTCCATTCCCTCACTCCTCACTGGCCTCGGAGAACTCAAGGCTTACCCCTAAACTGATAGTTTAGTATAAACTCCAGACCTAGGCCCTTAGAAACTGCAGCTTCTGGTGAATATGCTAATCAGATCAGGAGCCATTAGCTTCCCCACGACTGCTTAAGTAGTTGCCTGGTTACCTGGTATCCTCTATGCATGCTGAGAGAAAAGAAGCCTCCTGCTGATTTAAAATACAATCTATGCCCTATTCATAATTTTACTGAAAAGAAACCTTTCATCTGACCACCTAAAATTATAGCGTATACACTAACCACCCCTCTAGAATCCCCTGATGATCAATTCCTTCCTAACTTTCTCCACTAAGCAGTTCACTGGACCTGCACTAGCCACTTCTACCAGTAAGCTGAAAGTCACAGGTCTGTGTGTGAGTGTGTGAAGACTTTTATCTGATTTTTATGGGGCAAAAGAATCCCAGCTCTGGAACCAGCAAGGGCTGGGGAATTGCTGGTTATAAGGGTGTGTATGACTGGGAACCTTTGTAATGGGTAGAACAAAAGAGAAAAGGAAAAAGAGAGAAAACAGGAATAAAGAAACATAGATAGATGGAGCCTGTTGTGAGTAGATTTCTTAGCCCCCAGACTTTATTTGCTTATTTCTTAGCCCCCAGCTCCCTTTGCTTATTGTGGTGTCCTTGATTGAACCCTGAGAGGGGTTTCTTAAGAGCTGAACTCTTAGGGGCCACACTATTAATTGTTCTATGTAGGCGCTGTGAAGACAAATTTTTATCTCTTTTTCTCCTAAAAGTATAAAGAAGAAACAATCATTTAAATCAATAACTATGAGACCATCCTTTAGGTAAAAGAGAAGGCAAAGGAACATCAGACTGTACAGGGCCCATTGGCTGAATCACATTAACAGCACTTGGATCAGTTACCATTCTCCATTTTACAGATTTCTTTTTAATAACAAATATAGGAAATCCCCACAGGGGATTCTTCAGGATGCTGAGTGTTTAACTGCTGTGGGAGAATGCTCTTGCACACTGTAAAGATTTGTCACTCATATTGGTTTAATTAAATACTGATTGGTCAATAGCCAAGCAGGAAGAAGTATTGGGTGGGGTGACCAGACTAAAAGAATTCTGGGGAGTTGAAAGGCAGAGAGTCAGTTGCCACCCAGACACAGAAGAAGCAAGATGAGAATGCTTTCTGAGACTAGGTACCAAGCCACATGACTAAACATAGACAAGAATTATGGTTTAATTTATGCTGTAAGAACTAGTTAGTAATAAAGTTGAGCAATAGGCCAACCAGTCTATAATTAATATAAACCTCTTTTTTTATTTGGGACTGAATGACTGTGGGACCAGGTGGGACAAAAACTTCCATTTTTATTTAACTGCTCCTGTACCAGCTGTCCTAAGGCCTGCGGTTTCTCTATTGTTAAAGCCATTGCTCAACCCATACAGGGTTCAGTATTCATTCATCTTCTTGGCTTCATTGAGGTTGTCCTATGTCCAGCCTCAAACCCTTGCTATCACATTTCCCCAACATACATCCTCAGCCTATGAGTTAAAATAAAGCCCTGCTTAAACTGATTTTGTCAAATGTTTGATCGAAGCGATAGGAAAGAAAGCGCTTATGTCCCCTGTCTCCCTAGTGTAGGTCAGGACATCTTAGCATTTCTACTGAGCACAGCTTGGCACCTGAGAAACTTTTACACGACTCTGTCTGCAGGAATCTAAAGCAGGCACACACATCAAGCATTTACTGGCAATCAATCCAAAAGAAATTACAGCAGTTCCTTGGGGCTGGAGAGATGACTCAGCAATTAAGAGTGCTGGCACAGAAGACCAGAGTTCAGATCCCAGCACGCATGTAAAAGCCAGGTATGGTCCTGTTCACCCCTCTAACCCAGCGCTGAGGGGGCATGGAAAGAGCAGAATCTCTGGGCATGGCAGCTGCCAGCCTAGAGGAAATCTGTGAGCTCAGTTCAGTGAGAGACCCTGCATCAAAGAACAAGGCTGAGGGTGACAAAGAAGGACATCTCCCTGTAGTTTGCTGGCACGCCCACCCACACATACATGTGCACAAAAAGCACACACATACACTTCACACGCATACACACATACACTCACATATACGTGTAAAGTTAAGAAGCAGATAACAAAACCAGTTATTTGTCACACATAATTTTACCAGTCAGGACTAAAGTAAATTTACACACTAATGAGAGAGATGTGTTTGTTTGTGTAACACTGCAATCAGAAGACACACTAATTTGACACATGCTGAAGAATAGTGGTAGGACCATGTCAAAGTCACTGTGTCTGTAACTGGACCATTGTATTTCTGTAAGAGGAGATTGTGGCATGAATTTCAATTGGTCTTCATAATAAAAATCCAGAGTCAAAATGAGGTAAACACTGAAAGATCAAAGAAGTAGAGGATCCAGCCACTAGAGAGACTTTAGACAAGCAGGGGTGAATCACAGCACAGTGAGGGGTTGAGTGGGGAAGAGGGGGAGAATGAGGTGGGAGATGGGGGGCAATGAATTTGTAGGAGGAGCCAGTTTCTCTGTCTACAGCCCCAGCAGGCTTCCTGCAGTTCCTGCAGTTGCCAGGACTCAAACTCCACTTCAGGACCTCAGACCATTCCTCTAAGGTGTGTTGGGTTTGGGTTTTGTTTTGTATTGTTTGTTTGTTGTTCCTTGAGAACAACACCTGGTGGGCCCCTCACCCACCAGCCTTGAGTCCCCTGTTTGCTTAAGGAGAGGTTCCCAGGTTGCAGGAACCCAGGTAAGCACCTCAGGAGCCCCCCTCTCCCCATCCTCAGGGGTCGTGGTGAGCAAACTTGGGGAGGAGGAACAGCGCCTGCCCAGCCCTAATCTCTCAAGAACCCCTTGACACTCACATCTCCGCACTTAAAGCAACTGCAAGCACCTGCAGGTCTGACAGTGAGCTAGGCTGCTGGATGTTGACAGTACAGCCTTGGGAGGGATGAGGACCTCCTGCCACCAACCCTGATCACCTGACCTCCAAGGGTCCGCCCACCCATGCTTTGGAGAATTAGGGATGGTACCTTTTCAATCTCCATTTTCACACAGTCCAAGTCCATCTGGGGGCAACCTGCCTACTATGTGAGAAGCTTAGCAGTTTCCTGGAAGGAGTGGAATTTAAGGGCAGGCTGACCCAGGAAGCAAGCACAGGGGCATTCTGGGAGCAGAGCAGATCCACAAGAAGTAGAGAGAACAGCTAAAGTCCTAATTAGGTTTTAGAAAATACTTTAATGATTCTTTCTGAAGCCTCTTCTGGCCTGCTCAGTAGGGCCCACGGTCACATTAATCCATGGTTGAGTCCTTGTCCATTTATTTCTAGGAGGGAAGGGAGAAGTTACAGACTGAGTTAGGGTCGGGTGTAATTGCCAGGTCTCAGGGACTTCGTGATTCCTGGAGCTTAGTTCCCAAGACCCAAGGGAGGGAGAGAGGGAGGCAGGGAGAGAGAGAGAGAGAGAGAGAGAGAGAGAGAGAGAGAGAGAGAGAGAGAGAGAAGGAAGCAAGGAAAGAACAGGTCTGGATGGAGAGAAAGCCCTAAGCTAGGCTGATGTATGGGTTACATATCTTTAGCTAGAGTTTTGGGCATGGTGCTGAGTGGTTGGAACTTCCAGTAAGGCCTGGAGACTGGAAGACTTCCCAAGGGCTGTCTTGATTTATGTTACTGGAATCCTCAAAACCTCAAGAAGAATATTGGTGGGCTGGGTGAAAATGGGTGGAACTCAGAAAGGTGGATTTGGTCGATAGAAAGAGAAGGGCTCCAGTAGACATGAGCAGGCAATCACGGCTCTGGCATATCTTGTCCTCCCCCATTCCCTCTGTCTAGCTAAACTGTTAAATTAAAGCGGCCACCAAGGTCTATTCTATTATTTGGCCACTTCCTCCTCCTGAGGCTGACCACCAAGGTCCAGTTTCAAAATATTCTTCCTTTGTGTACCCTAATTGACATGCCCAATCAAAGCAAGTCAACTCATCCCAACAAGGGGTTACCCTTTTCCCTTCATAAGCTGCCATTTGCCTATGGGCCACATCTGCTTTCCCTTTATCCAAAGGCAGTCCTTTGTTCCTCTGAGGAAATATCTCTTCCCCTTCTTCTTTGCCCCTTTCTCCCCTCTCCCTTGTCTCTTATACCCTGCCTTTGCCCCTCTGGGGTAATTCTCCTTTGTGCTGAGGAACTGGTCTTGGTGTATCCTTCCAGAAAGTTCTACTGAAGGAAGAAGAATGAGGGGTTGGGCCAGCATCGGGGCAGGAGATTGGTAGTATTCAGTAAATATGTCTGGTCAGGATCCAAGAACTGGGGCTTGAGCCCAGCCTGGCAAGGGGTTAAAGGGGCTTCATAGTGTGTAACTTCAACAAGTAGGCACAGTGATTTGCTTCTGGGGTGTTTTGGATGTCAGAGTGAAGACCTTTAGAGTGTGTGTGTATGTGTGTGTGTTGGGGGGGTATTTTGCAGGAGCAGGTTCTCTAGATGCATTTGTTAGCAAACATGGGGCTGGGATTGGATTTGTGCAGCTAGAGGGGAGGAGCTTACTAAGTTCATGCCCAGCAGCTTCAGGGCAAAGTGCACGCAGTTGTTCTCAACAAGATGATAGGGAGGAGGGATGCTGTTCATCGCTTCTCGTACACGTCTCTCCAGCACCTTGGGGTCAACGCCACCGCGTTTGCGAAGTACACGCAAGAGCTTTCGGGAGTGTTTCATCGCAAGGAGGCCCTGTTTGTACACCACACCTTCCAAGTAACCCTGAAGCTTTTGTCGTATACTATCTAAACCTTCGATGGATATCGTGCCTGTGGAGATAGCAGGCCCAGTGCGAATCAGAGACAGCATTTCCTCAAACTGAAGTCCCACACCAGTGCTGCCCCTCCCCCTTCCAGAGATCCACACTTCCATCCCAGTTTTCACCCCACTACAGCACCCCTGTGACTGGTCACATCTGTTTCCACTCACACTCAAAGTGTATGATCTCTCCCTGGCCGCAGTAAACACCCACGTGGGCCACAAAGGGCACCGGCACCGGAAACTGAAACTCAAACAGGAAGAGGTCTCCAGGCTGAGGATTGCCTTCCTCTAACCCCACCTCCTGGAAGTGCTGACCAATGAACTCCTCGGAGAAGAACTTCAAGATGCTGGGTGCCCCTGCCAGGGACTAAGAGGAGAAATGTCACAGATGCAGGGTGGATACACAGGTATAGCCGGGTCATTCTGTTCATCACAGAGGTAGACCTGGCTCGGGGTGGGACTCTACTCTGCTCTACACCAGCCTCCCTGTCCTTAAGGGACTCTGGAGACCTGAAAACCACAGATGTAAGTTGCCCTGAGCCACCCTTGTGGATCCCACACTGCCTAGCAGTTGGGCCTTCCTTGCCGCCCAGGTTTATCCACTATTCCCCAATCCCGCCACTCTATTCTCCTCCCTCTCCCAGTTCCTGGATGGCCTTCATCATCTTCCAACTTGGTATTCCTACAAGCGACACTGGGTTCTGGTTATCAGCAGGTTCCTGGGTTGAGACGTTGTCCCCCTGAAGAAACAGGAAAACTTCAGTGAGATCTGGACCATGATAGACACCTCCCAAGTCCAATAATTTCAAAAGTAAACGTGTATTCTCATTTACTGCTTGTTACCATTCTCGAGATAGGTGTAGTATGCTTATCTTCAGGGGGAAATTGAGGAATATCAAATCTTGCTACAGTACACACAGCTAATCTGTGCCCGTGTGACCATCCTGCATCCCATGTACTAAATAAATACTGTGTGTTTTTTTTCTATAAAACAGAGGAATCCAGCGTAGTTTCTCATCTTCACTGGGAACAGAGGGCGCTGTGGATGTAGAAGGATGATTTCACGGCCCTGGTTAAACCTGAGCTTTGGTTTCAGGGGGGGGGGGCATTGAGACATTGCTAAAGGTCCTGAAAACAACAGGTGACAACTCACCCCACACATCTCTGTGTCCTTGTGCCCTTGGTCAGGGGTCACTCTCTCTAATATCCACCAGATAGGGAGAACACCTTCCTCCCAGCTCCCCTCCCATCCCATACCCACAGGGTCAAGCAGAAGTCACAGCTGTTGATGGCAGAGGACTATCGTGGCCTCTGTTGAGACAGCTGGTACCCTGCCTGGGGAGGAGACAAGATGAGCCAAGGACTTCTGCTCCATTTACCTTGGAAAAGAGTGAGCCCATCTAGGAAGAGAAAAACCAGTCATCACCACCAGGTTCATCCCCTGTCCTCCCTGTTCTGGCTGCTCAGTATCTGGGTGTTGTGCATAAACCTGCTCTAGATGGCTGATAACAGATTGAGAGACCTGTCACCTCTCCATATGGGACATCAAAAAGTCCCTTCTTTCTGGACCTCAACTTCCTTATCTGTAACCTGGGGACAATAATGTTGGTGAGCTGGGCATCAACTCACCACTGTGAAGCACTGAGAGCTCTTTGTGATCCTTACCAGGCCTGAGGGTTTATCTAAGCTTTATCTGAGGTCTAGTTGGCTCCTGAACTTGCACATTTGCCTGCAGTGGAGGGCTGCAGAGAATACCTCTCTCTCAGCTCAGAGGACAACAATGGGTCCCAAAGGCTGGTGGCCTCCCTGTGATCTTCACCCAGTTGGGGATCCAGACTTGGGGGCCTGAGTCCTTCCTTCTGTACCCTGGCTACCAGAAACAGAGCTGTGGCAGGGTGTCTGTGTGACTGGCTTTGGGGTCACTACTCCCAGCCAGGGACCTACAGCTAAAGCAAGGTCAGAGGGGAAGCCCACCTCTTTTGGCCATCCTTCCCTTTCTGGGGACTCCGGCTACTGTCAGACCCCCCTATCTGAGCTCATAGCTAAGCTGCTTACCTTTTAGTGACCACACTTTACTCCTTATGAGACGTTCGTCTTCTGTGACCAGAGGAAAGAGGACAAGTTTCCATGAATCTGGCAGATAAAGGGGCTAAGCAGGAAGTTCTGGGGCCAGATTCTGGGCACCGGTGTCTTAGCCAATCTGAATGAGGCAGCAGCAATTCCTCTATGACCCTGGGGTGGACAAAAATCCAGAGCTTGTGGGCTGGGGTCCAGGTAGGTAAATGGCTCCTCCTTCCCCTCCTCCCACCTTTCAACATCTGATAAGTGACATCCATGACCGCCCTTTCTCCTCAGCTCCCTTCCCTCACTCTTCACTGGCCTCGGAGAACTCAAGGCTTCATCTCCACCCTGCCTTGGACAGAGAACGGGAGCTAGCTTTCAATCCCCAGAATTATTGAGGTTTGCTTTATGCTCTGTTCTAGGGGACATGCTTGCACCCTTGCAAGTGTATCTTGCAGGTTCGGGTGTAGTGTTCTGTGAGCACATGCTGGGTCAAGGTGTTTGACAATATTACTCATATCACTTCTACCTATAGTAACTTCATTTTTTCTACAGTTTTCTGTCTGTTAAGAGGGATGGTAAGGCCGGGCGGTGGTGGCACATGCCTTTAATCCCAGCACTTGGGAGGCAGAAGCAGGCGGATCTCTGTGAGTTCGAGACCAGCCTGGTCTACAAGAGCTAGTTCCAGGACAGGCTCCAAAACCACAGAGAAACCCTGTCTCAAAAAAAAAAAAAAAAAAAAAAAAAAGGGATGGTAAGATTTCCTGCTTAGTACAGGGGCAGAATTGTCTTCCTTTCTTCCTATAGATTTTGCTATGTTGAGTTGGAAATGCTTATTACATCTAAACCTTTTATGACTGTTGCATCTTTGGATGAGCTAATGTTTATCAATATGAATGACCCCCACAGCTCTGCGAATGCTCGAGTTGAAGTCTTGACCTAACACTAAGCTTGCTAATTGCATCCATGTCTCTTATCACTCATTTGCTTTCCTTTTTCCTGTTGACGTGCATTCTGTTTGTGTCTTTGCGTTTACGTTTGATTTTGAGATGGGAGTCTCACTTGTTGCTCAGGCTGGTCTCAGCTCTAGGCTCAAGTAAACACTATAGAGCTGGCTTTATATTACTGTGTTTAAAATACATACGTAGAATATAATTGGGTCTTCCTTTTCAATCCAGAAATATTTAATGTGATGAATTGATATGGTTAATCTTTGGTCTATCATTATTTACAGGTTTTCCCCTTCTGGAGTGTGAGCGTGTGTGTGTGTGTGTGTGTGTGTGTGTGTGTGTGTGTGTGAGCATGTGTGTGTGTCAGCGTATGTGTGTGTGTATGAGAGAGAGAGCATGTCTGTCTGTCTGTGTGTGTATTCTTTTGTTCTCCGACTCTTGTCTCCTTTTAGTATATTTGAATAATTTTACTAATCCACTTTAAGATGGGCATGACAGCACACACCTGTAATCCCAGCACCCAGGAGGCTGAAGTAGGAGGAACTGAGAGTTTGAGAGCAGCCTGGGCTACATAGTGAGTTCCAGGCTCACCTGGGTTATATAACCCGTGTCATATAGTAAGACTCTGACTCAAATAGACCCCACTTTAATCATCTGCTGGCATTTAGCTCCATTTCTTTGTTTTATGTATTATCAGTCTCTTTAGACATGATAATGTAACTAGTTTTCCAGCTGGACAGTTAGGGTAATTGGTTAGAGTGTGGTGCTAATAATAAAATAATATGTACTTTACACAAACTACTTCATTATGGAGCGTGTATCTGCACAGCCAATCCCTTCCTGTCTTGTGTCGTGTTTGTCATATGTACGTGATACACTCCACGGGACAGTTTTATAAATTTTGCTTTAAAACGTTGTGTGCTTTAAGAGAGAGTAAGGATGCCCCTCACAGTTACATGCTTGACGGTCTAAGTGTTTCTCTGATACTATTTCTCTACACACAAATGAAATTCCTTCACCATTTTTCATGGGACAGCTGACTGATATGAACCCTCTGAGTTTTATTTGCAAACAACTTTGTCTTTATTCATCCTGTTGGACAGAATTGTGTTCTAATGTTTTCTTTTTAAATTTTTTCTTGATTCTTTGTGGGTTTCTCATCAGGTATCCTGATCCCACTCCCATCCCTTCTCTTCTGCCCTCTGCCCTGCAACCTCCGCCCCCACACCCTGAAAACAAAGTTTAAAAGTAGAACCAAAAAAAGAAAAAAGAAAAAAGACATCAAAACATCATGGAAGCTGTAGCACAGCCCAGTGAGGCACACAGTATACCCTTTAGCGTATACATCTCACTTGTACGTGTTCATTGCAATGTGTTACCCATGTGGTTCGAGGACTCTGGCCTGTGCTGCACCCTCAACACTGGCCCTCACGACACTATCTTGGATGTGCTATTGTTGCCTTGTGCCCTGGGGATCCTGGAGCTGTGGATCTGCAGGTCCAGCCCCTTCCCATGCTCCAGCAGTTCATAGATGAGGTGGGTGCTGAGGTGGGCAACTGTGTAGTCCTGGCTCTGGGCCTGAGTGGGAGCTGACTTAGCCTGCCAGCTTTCCCTCATTGTCAGCACCCAGGGGAGAGCTCACCAGCCCTGCCCTGGCCAGCTCACCTAATGAAGCAGACAGTGAGGAGTGGGGCCAGGTCCCCTGCCCTCACACCCCAGGTTCACCTCACCTGCGCTTACAGCAACAGGACCTGCTCCACTCTTTTGCCCAGGTGAGGGGCAGGCCCAGCTCTTGTTCTCATGGCCCCAAAGTCAGTTCTCAAGCCTGTGGCAGGCAGCAAGGCTGGGAGGTATTTTCTTTCCCTTTTAATCCCAGATCACACCAGGGGTAGGGAAGGGTGGGGTGGGCAGCTCTTCTCTCACATTGGGTCCCAGCACACCTGAGGCCCCACCAACAGGCTCAGCTCTAGTGTGCTGCCCAGGTGAGGCGCTGTGCCTGCTCTCCCGTGTGCTGCAGCTGGTGAGGGCAGGGCCCGTTCTCCCACCCTTGCGTCCCTGTAGAGAATTTTCTCTATGGCATCTGGACTTCATCTTAGCAGGTGAGGAGTCAATGAAGGTGCGCACTGTTGAGAATCACAGCCTGTATTGTCCTTGGCTGCTCTCGGGTTCTCCTTATCTTTGCTCTCTCTATCTCTATCTTGATTGTGTTGTGTTTGGGGTGCGATATTTGTGTTTCCCTTGTCACTGTTCCAGCAAATTCAATGTGAGTTTTGTCTTTCACCTTTTGCTTTTATTCCCGCACATTTTCTGCTCTACTTTCTTCTGTTCTAAAACTCCAATTAATAATATCAGCCTAGGGAGTGAAGAGATGGTTCAGCGGGTAAGAGCACTAGCTGTTTATCCAGAAGAACCGGGCTCAAGTCCCAGCATCTACTTGGCAACTCAGAAAGGTCTGCAACTCCCGTTCCAGGGGATCTGGCACCTTCACACCAATGCACATAAAAGAAAGTTAAATAAATTATTTAAAAAATAATTATATCGGCTGGGTCGTGATGGCACATGCCTTTAATCCCAGCACTTGGAAGGCAGAGAAAGGCGGATCTCTGTGCGTTAGAGGACAGCCTGGTCTACAGAGCAAATTCCAGGACAGGCTCCAAAGTTAAAGAGAAACTCTGTTTCAAAAAAAAAATTATATTACTGTGATACTATTTGATGAATCATATACATGAGTCAGATATGCATTGGTATTTTTTTAAAATTTATTTCATTTACCTTTTCTTACAGCATTTTCCACTTGCTACGAAAATATTCTTAAGAGTTTTTAAAATTATTTCTAATTATGGAATTTCTTGTTGTTGTTTACTGGAGGTTTTTTGTTTTTATTTTTTTGCAAGAGATTCTTACTATGTACTCCTGACCACCATGGAACCCAACATATAGTTCAGTCTAGCCTTAAATTATTTATTGTTAATCCTCTTTATAAACATATAGAACAAGGAATTTACAATTTGAGAAGCATTGCCAAGGTCCCCCAGCCCTGTGCCTATGCTGAGCAAGGCATCTCTCCACAGAGAACTGTTGTATAGAGCTGAGGCTCCTAGCAACAGCAGATACAGAGGCTGAACTGACATCTCCTGTGACCAGATGGATGCCTAGCCAGGTTGTCATCAGAGATGCTGCATCCAGCAACTGATGGGGACAGATGCAGACCCACAGCCCAACACTAGGTGGAGCTCTGGGAATCCTGGAGAAGGGGTGTGAGAAAGGGTTGCAGGAGCTGGGGTTTGGGGGGGTGGGGGGGTCAAGGACACCACAAGAAAACTCCAGAATCAACTAACCTGGGCTCATAGGGGCTCAAGGAGACTGAACTGACAACCAGGGAGCCTGTCTGGCACTGACCTAGGCCCTCTGCATGTGTAGAACAGTTGTGGAGCTTGGTGCTCTTGTGGGACTCCTAACAGTGGGTGCAGGTATTTTTCTGACTCTTTCGCTGGCTTTTGAGACCCTATTCCTCATACTGGGTGACTTTGCCCAGCATCATATAAGGGGAGGTTCTCAGACTTACTGAAACATGATATGCTACGTTTTGTTGATGTCCATGGGCTCTTTTCTGAATAGAAATGGAGGAGGAGTGGGGTCTTTCATGACACTTCCTGCATTGCCACCCTTGATGCTGGCCTTGGGGTTCACATAATCATGTGAGCATTTTAGGAGCAGAATTTGGGCCTGTTGGGCTGGAGAGATGGCTCAGTGGTTAAGAGCATTGCCTGCTCTTCCAAAGGTCCTGAGTTCCCGGCAACCACATGGTGACTCACAAGCATCTTTAAAGAGGTCTGGTGCCTGCAGACATGCACACAGACAGACTATTGTATACACAATAAATAAATAATTAAAAAAAAGAATTTGGGCCTGTTTTATCTCTGTCTTCATAGCCCTTTTCCCATGAAGGGTGTTAAAGTTTTTTCTCCTTGCTTTGAGGATCTTCCGAAGTAAGACAGAAAAATAATGACTGACTTCATGTTCTATGGGTTCATACCTTAATAAAACCTAACTAGGAAAGATTTATTAACAAAACCCTGATATCCTGGAAACACTATATGACACACGCTCCAATCTGATGCCCTGGTTCAAATAGCCTCTCAGTTTTAACAAAAAGGAAGATACATGGAGGAAGACACAAAACTAAGGAGCAAAATTAAAAATCAGATCCTTGGAGTTGGTGTGGTGATGTGTGTATTGTTATCATTCATAATGCGGGTTACCCGAGACCAGTCCCACGAGGGCCTGTGGTGGGTGACCCGAGGCTTTGCAGGTCTCTTGGTGTGGGGGAGGCAGACAGCTACATCGTGCAGAGAGCGCTTGGGTATAGAGTTTACTTAGTGGGTATTGGGTCCAGCATAAGAGTAACGGGTTATGGAGGAGGGGAGAGGTTGAAGGTAAGAGAGAAAGGAGGACAGAAGAGAGAGAAAGAGGCAGAAGCTGCCTCTCCAGAAGAAGAGAAGACAGGGAGAGCTGGTTGGAGAGAAGGCAGGAGAGGTGGGAGGGAGAGACTGGGAGTGGGCAGGGCTTGACTCTTAAAGGGACACAGTATTCAGGTCAGGCCAGCAGATTACAACATGCATGAAGTCCCAATTATCAGAGAAGCCAAGGCAGGACTGAGTATTTGAGGCCACCCTGGGAAACTTAGCCAAACTGTGGACTAAAATAAATATAAATAGAAAGGACTGAGGATGAGTCTGATGTGATTGTGCAGATCTAGAGCCTGAACACTCAGGAGACTGAAGAACTGTGAGTTCCAGGCTACCCTGTACTGCTTTACAGCAGGAGGCAGACAGAGAGAGATAATATGAAGCCCAGCATTCATTCATCTTTGCTTCATGACTGATGTTATCCTATGTCCAGCCTCAAACCCTTGCTATCACATTTCCCCAACATACATCCTCAGCCTATGAGCTAAAATAAAGCCCTGCTTAAATTGATTTTGTCAGATGCTTTATCAAAGCGATAGGAAAGAAAGCCCTGATGTCCTTTTCTGTCTCCCTAGTGTAGGTCAGGACATCTTAACATTGCTACTGAGTAAAACTTTGTACCTGGGGGCTGGAGAGATGACTCAGAAGTTAAGAGCACTGACTGCTCTTCCGGAGGTCCTGAGTTCAATTCCCAGCAACCACATGGTGGCTCACAACCACCTGTAATGAGAGCTGGTGCCCTCTTCTGGCCTGCGGGCATACATGGAGGCTGATCACTGTATACATACTAAATAAATAAATAAATAAATCTTTAAAAAAAAAAACAACTTTGTACCTGAGAAATTTTTACATGACTCTGTATGCAGGGATCTAAAGCAGGCACACACATCAATAAATCCAAAAGAAAAGTATTTTAAAACAATTCTTTATGGCTGGAGAGATGATTCAGCAATTAAGAGTGCTGGCATATGAGACTAGAGTTCAGATCCCAGCACGCATGTAAACGTCAGACATGATCCTGTTCACACCTCTTACCCAGCACAGAGAGGTCATGGAGAGAGCAGAATCTCTGAGCATGGCTGGGTGCCAGCCTAGAGGAAATCTGTGAGCTCAGTTCAGTGAGAGACCCTGCATCAAAGAACAAGGCTGAGGGTGACAAAGGAGGACATCTCCCTGTAGTTTGCTGGCATGCCCACCCACACATACATGTGCACATACAGCACACACATACACTTCACACGCATACACACATACACTTCACATACATACACTCACATATATGTGTAAAATTAAGAACAAGATAACAAAACCAGTTATTTGGCACACATAATTTTACCAGTCAGGACTAAAGTAAAATTACACAGTAATGAGAGAGATGTGCTTGTTTGTGTAACACTGTAACCAGAAGACTCACTAATTTGACACATGCTGAAGAATAGTGGTAGGACCATGTCAAAGTCCCTGTGTCTGTAGCTGAACCATTGTATTTCTGTAAGAGGAGATTGTGGCCCAAATTTCAATTGGTCTTCATAATAAAAACCCAGAGTCAAAATGGGGTAAACGCCGAAGTAGATCAAAGAAGTAGAGGAGCCAGCCACTAGAGAGACATTTTACCTCTACTGAATCCTCAGACCGAATGCCATGAGCCTTTGTCTCCTCCTGCCTTGTGTTCTTCTCTTTGACCAGACCTACCCCTGCCTGTCTCCTCCTCCCTAGTCCTGGTTTAAAGGCTTGTGACTCCCAAATACTGGGATTAAAGGTTGAGCCACCACCATCTGGCTCCGTTCTCTTTAGGATGGATCAATCTTGGGAACGCTAGGGCGTCCTTGAACTCATGGAGATCCTCCGGTCTTTGCCTCCTGGGTGTAAGGATTAAAGTTGAATGCCACCACTGCCTGACCTCTATGGCTCTCTCTAGTGGCTTACTTTGCAATCTGATTTTCAGGCAAGCTTAATTGTTAAGACATAAGCAAATATCGCCAGAGAAGACTTTGTATGTACAACTGAAAGTGCTGTGGTTCATGGCATGTCAGTCTCCAGGGAGAGTCTCCCGTGTGCACCAAGGTGTGTCAGGCGGTGTCAGTGTCTGGTGTGATCAGGTCAGAGTTGTAGCGTGCGATGTTCTGTTTAGAGTCACAGCTGCAGTAAAGTCACAGGTGGCAGCCACAGGCCAGGACTCCCCACTTCCATTATGTGTTTGATTTTGAATTCATTTCAGGTTTTCTGTGTTCAGAATCCTTTACCGCTGCCAACCTTTTTCTGAATGCTATGCTCAGCTACCAGACCCAGTTGGAACCCTCAGTTTAAACAGCTTTGTTTAGGCCATCCTCATGCCCAGCCAGTCTGCTCTAACATTCCTTTCCCTGTATTGATATCTGGTTTGTGTTTTAACAATAAAGTTTGCCTGAAGATCACAGTGCAGAACTAAGCCTCTAGAGGCCAGGGAGTGGTGGCACACACCTTTAATCCCAGGACTCCGGGTGCAGATGGATCTCTGTTAGTTCAAGACCACCCTGGGCTACACAAAATTGATCCAGTCTAGAATATAAATAGAGCTCACACAAAGGTGATCCCAGCACTTGGGATCCCAGGCCTCTAATCCCAGCACTAGGAAGGGATGCAACAAGGTAGAGAGAGGAATATAATGCAGCAGGAGACAGGAGCTCCATTCAGTCTAAGGCAGCAGTCTGAGGACAGGATCACCCTTTGGTCTGAGCATTGGTAGAGGTAAGAACTCTCTAGTGGCTGGCCACAGGTTTCTCTGATCCTCAGCTTTCACCCCCAACTCCGAGTTTTTATCATGAACATCAATAAAAATTCATGCTACGTCTCTTTGTCTCTTGCTCAACACAGATCAGTTTCTTTTTTATGGTTCGTTTATTTTTTATTTCACAGTTGTGAGTGTTTTGCCTGCATGTATGCATGGGCATTGTGTGCATGTTTGTGTGGTGTTCAAGGAGGTCAGAAGTGGGCATCAGACCCCCTGGAGCTGGAGTTGGAGGTATTCATGTGGTAACGTGTGGGTGGTGGAAATCGAACCAAGGTCCTCTGAAATAGCAACAGGTGCTTTTAACTACTGAGCCATCACCTCTAAGCCTCTAGAGAAACTCCTCCCCACTTTCACTTTCCTCAGTCCAACTTGAGATCCTTCCAATCCACAAATCTGGGGACAATCCCCCCACCAGCTTAGAACCCTCCTTCATTCTAGTGACTTCCAGTGATTCCAGCCACACTGTGCTGACAGCAGAAGAACCTACATATTGCTTTCCTTAGTCCTCTGGACTGTAAGAAATGTATATGAAATTTGCTCCTTCCTTCCTTCCTTCCTTCCTTCCTTCCTTCCTTCCTTCCTTCCTTTCTTTCTTTCTTTCTTTCTTTCTTTCTTTCTTTCTTTCTTTCTTTCTTTCTTTCTTTCTAGTTCTGGCTGTCCTAGAACTTGCTATGTAGACCAGGTTGGTCTCAAGCTCAAAGAGCTCTGCTCTCCTGAGCACTGCACCCAGAGGTTCCATCTTTTCTACCAGTGGGAATTTTACTAAAATGTTACGTAGAGAGAGAGAGCACAGGCTCCATCTCCTTTGTCTCAGGTTTCCTCTTCTCAGCAGACTCCTGTAGCCTTGGAAGCCATGAATTCTGGACAGGCTCATAGCCTAACATTTGACTAAGATCAAAGTATGTGCCCAAGGATGCATCCTGTGCCAGGTGGTGTTGGCACAGAGCTTTAATCCCAGCACTTGGGAGGCAGAGACAGGTCAAGACCAGCCTGGTCTACAGAGTGAGTTCCAGGACAGCCAGGGATTCACAGAAACCCTATCTGAAAACAAAACATACATATCAACAACAACAAAAAAACATAAACAACAAAAAAGCTGGACCCTGTTATCCAAGATTACACTTGATTATCAGTTGCACGGCGTTTGTTGATGTTAGCAGCCACCTAAGTTGTGCGGCCTAGCACTGAATATACAGAGTGAGGGACAGGGTCACCTTTTCATTGATAGTAAAAACCCAAGGGGACTCCCACTAGGTGCGCCTGCCTGCCTGAGTCTCCCCTGCAGAAGACAATTTGTTTGCCCCTAGTGCTTTGGATTGTGTGGTCATTTCCCTGAGATCCCAGACCCTTTTCTTATGTGTTCCCTAAAAATGGAAGCAGCCTCACACTCCCCTGCTGACCCTAGAAGCTGAATGGCCACTGCTTCATTCTTGCTCCTTCAGAGCAATCTGTGGTCTCTTGTTCACTGCTGTATTGTGTGACCAGCAGGTCTACACGGAAGGCCTCTAATAAATAATTGCTATTGAATTCATGAACGAATAAATGAGTGAGTCAGAGGTCAGGGGCTGAACCAAACTTTAGACAATCAGGGCTGAATCACAGTGCAGTGAGGGGGTGGGGTGGGGAAGAGGGGGGAGATGGGGGGGGTGGTAATGAATTTGTAGGAGGAGCCTACACCCTGAGCAGGCTTCCTGGAGCAGCCAGAACCAAACTCCAGTTTAGGAACTTGGACCCCACCCCCACGGTGTTGGTTTTTTGTTTGTTTTTGTTTTGTTTTGTCTTTGTTTCTCCTTGAGCCTACACACCCAGCAGAGATACACAAGTGCACCAGGAACCAGCAGCTGTTTTTAGCCACAAGCTCCCCCTCTCCTCCTCCCCTCCTGCTCCTCTCTCTCTCTCTCTCTCTCTCTCTCTCTCTCTCTCTCTCTCTCTCTCTCCTTCCTCACCTCCTTTCTCCCCTTTTTGCCTTTCCCTCCATAGCTCCCTGAATAAATATTTAACCTCATTTCTACATGTGTGTCTATCCATGTTTCTATCTCCTGCCCACCCGCCATGTGTCTCCCTGCCTGGGACCAGCCAGTGCTCAGGGACCGCAGCCATCTCTGCCGGGTGGCTGCTCCCAGGGCCCGCTGCCTGCTGACACATGGCCCGCTACCACCATTTGAGGACCTACAGCATTTCTGCTGCCTACTGCCGCCGGGGATCTTGCAGCACTTTTAAGAGAGATGGCTCAGTGGTTAAGAGCATTGCCTGCTCTTCCAAAGGTCCTGAGTTCAATTCCCAACAATCACATGTTGGCTCACAACCATCCGTAATAAGGTCTGGTGCCCTCTTCTGGCCTGTAGGCATACACACAGATAGCCTATTGTATACATAACAAATAAATAAATAAATATTTAAAAAATCATAACATCTAACATCGAAAATAGATTTTAGAAGATATTTTAATGATTCTTTATGAAGCCTCTTCTGGCCCACTCAGTAGGGCCCAAGGTCACATGAATCCATGGTTGAGTCCAGTCCATTTAATTCTAGGAGAAAAAGGAGAAGTAACAGACTGAGTTAGGGTCTGGTGTAATCACCAGGTCTCCAGAACGTTGTGATTCCTGAAGCTTAGCGCCTAAGACCCAAGGCAGGGAGTAAAGGAAGAAAGGAACCTACGAAGGCTGAATGGAGAGAAAGCCCTAAAACTAGGCTGATGTGTGGGTTGCATCTCTTTGGGCTAGAGTTTTGGGCATGGGGCTGAGTCGTTGGACTCTCCTGGTGTGCCTTGGAGACTGGAAGACTTCCCAAAGGCTGTCTTGATTTGAAGAGCAAGAATCCCCATATGTCCGAGGTGAGAAGTGGTGGGCTGGTTGGAAATGGGTGGAACTCAGAAAGGTGGATTTGGTCAATAGAAAGGGAAGAGCTCCAGTAGACCTGAGCAGGGCAAACACGGTTCTGGCAGATCTTGTCCTCTTCCATTTCCTCTACCTTGCTAAACTGTTAGATTACATCCCTAACACCATGGTCTATTCCCTTATTTGGATATTTCCTCCTCCTGAGGCTGACTACCAAGGCCCAGTTATCAAAATATTGAAATCCCAAAACCCAAGTCCCTCTTTTGTCTCTTCCATAATTAACAAGCCCAATAAAAACAAACTAACTCATCCTAACAAGGGGGTTACCATTTGCCTATGGGCCACATCTGCCTCCACTTTATCCAAAGGCAGTCCTTGGTTTCTCTGGGGAAATATCTCTTCCCTTTCCTCCTTGCCCCTTTCTCCCCTCTCCCTTGCCTCCTATTCCCTGCCTTTGTCCCTCTGGGGCAAATAGTTCTCCTTTGTGCTGAGAACTTGGTCTTGGTGTGCCAATCCAGAAAGTTCTATTGAAAGAAGAATGAGGGGTTGGGCCAGCACTGAGGCAGGAGATTGGTAGTATTCAGTAAATATGTCTGGCCATGATCCAAGAACTGGGGCTTGAGGCCAGCCTGGCAAGGGTCTCAAAGGGGCTTCATTGTGTATAACTTCAACAAGTAGGCACAGTGATTTGTTTCTGGATGTCAGAGTGAAGACCTGCAGTTTAGAGGAAACTTGTCTGAGTGTAGCAAAGGAGGGAATGTCTAGGTACATTTTTTTTTTTTTTTTTTTTTTTGCAAACTCAGGGACTGGGATGGGGATTCGTGCAGCGAGAGAAGAGGTACTTACTGTGTTCGTGCCCAGCAGCTTCAAGGCAAAGTGCACAGAGTTGCTGCTGATATCATTGTAGGGAGGAGGAATGCTGGTCATAGCTGTTTGCACCCTGCTCTCCAGTTCTTCCGTTTTAATGCCACTGCGTTGGCGAAGTACGTGCACAAGACGTCCAGAGCTCCTCAAGGCATCGAGGTTCTCTTTGCACACCACACCTTCACAGTTATCCCAAAGCCTTTGTCCTCTGCCCCTGCTGGAGGTCTTGCCTGTGGGGATAGCAGGTCCAGTGCATATAGGAGCTGGCATTTCCTCAAACTGAAGTTCTATACCTGGGCTGCCCCTCCCCCTTTCAGAGGCCTACACATTTTTCATCCCAGTGCAGTCCCCACCCGACGACTGGCCAAATTTGTCTTGCTCACCATCAAAGTGTATGATCTCTCCGTTGCCGCAGTCAACACCCATGTGGACTTTGGAGGACTGTGCCATAGAAGATGGCTTCTTGAACAGGAGGACATCACCAGGGAGAGTGTTGCCTTGGTCTAACTTCACCTCCTGGAAGGGCTTGCTCATGGACTCCTTGGAGCAGAACTTAAAGATGCAGCATTCCCCTAGAAGGGTCTAAGTGGAGAAATGTCAGACTGCAGGGTGGATACACAGTTATTGCTGGGTCGTTCTGCTCATCACACATGGTAGACCTGGATCAGAGTGGGGCCCTAGGCAGAAGGTCTCCATTGCTTTACACCTGCCTCCCTGTCTATAAGAAACTGCAGAGGCATGAAAACCACATATGTACCCGGCCCTGAGCTACCCCTAGGGACCCTATACTGTCCATCAATTGGGACTCTCATACACGTATTCCCAAATCCTGCCACTATTTTCTCCTCCATATCATGCTTCCTGGATCTCCTTTCTCATCTTCCAAGTTGACATTCCTACAAGCAGCACTGGGTTCTGGGTGTCAGCAGGTACCTGGGTTGAGATGTAGGTCTGAAGAAACAGTAAAACTTCAGTGAGATCTGGACCATGGTAGACACCTTCCAAGTCCAATAACCTCAGTAGCCAACATGCACTCATTTCACTGCTTGCTACCATTCTCAAGATAGATGTAGTATTCTTATATTCAGGAGGAAATTGAGGAAGGCAAATCTTACTATATTTCACACTGCTGACCTGTGCCCATGTGACCATCCTGCGTCCTATGTACTAAATAAATACCATTGCATGTTTCCTTCTGTAAAGGAACTAAGGCATTCAGTTTAGTTTCTTATCTTTACAGAGGGCACTGCAGACTTGGAAGGATAATTTCACTGCCCTGGTTATGCCTGAGCTTTGGTTTCAGAGGAGAGGTAATAGGAGAAGGACTATAGGGGCACTGCTAAATGACCTGGAACCATCAAGTGATCCCTCACTTTATGTCCTTCTGACCTCTGGCTAGAGATCATACTCTCTAAAATCCACTGAATAGGGAGACACCTTCCTCCTAACTTCCCTCCCATCCCAAACCCACGGGGTCAAACAGAAGTCACAGCTATGGAAGACAGTGGACTGTTGAGATGCTGGAACCCTGCCTGGAAGGGAAAAATATGAGCCAAGGACTTTGGCTAAATTTCCCTGGGATGAGAAGCTCATCTAGGGAGAGAAAACAGTCATTATGAGCCGGGCGATGGTGGCGCACGCCTTTAATCCCAGCACTCGGGAGGCAGAGGCAGGCGGATCTCTGTGAGTTCGAGACCAGCCTGGTCTACAGAGCTAGCTCCAGGACAGGCTCCAAAGCCACAGAGAAACCCTGACTCGAAAAAACAAACAAACAAACAAACAAAAAACAGTCATTATGTTCCCTGTCCTCCCTGCTCTGGCAGCTCAGTATCTGGGTGCAGTGCATAAACCTGCTCTAGATGGCTGATTACAGGTTGAGAGACCTGTCACCTCTCCATATGGGACATGATATTTCAGAAGAAAGCGAAAAGTAACAGACCGACTTAGGGTCTGGTGTAATCAACAGGTCTCCAGCACTTTGTGATTCCTGGGGAGACAGAGAGTAAAGTAAGAAAGGAACTTACTAGGTATGGATGGAGAGAATGCCCTAAGCTAGGCTGATTGTATGGATTACATCTTTTTGGGCTAGAGTATTGGGCATGGGACTGAGTGGCTAGAAACTCCTGGTAAGGCTTGGAGAATGGAAGAGTTCACAAAGTCTGACTTGATTTGAAGAAGAATCCCCAGATTTCCAAGATGAGAATTGGTGGGCTGGGTGGAACTCAGAAAGGTGGATTTGGTCAATAGAAAGGGAAGAGCTCCTATAGACCTAAGCAGGGCAAACACGGTTCTGGCAGATCTTGTCCTCCCCCATTCCCTCTGCCTTGCTAAACTGTTAGATGACATTCCTGAAGCTAGCCACCAAGATCTATTCCCTTATTTGGTCACTTTCTCCTCCTGATGCTGACCACCCAGGCCCAGCTATCAAAGTATTGAAGTCCAGCAATCAACCACCCTCTTTGTCTATCATAATTAACAAGCCCCCCCCCCCAAAGAACCAACTCATCCTAACAAGGGCTTACCCTTTTCCCTTTATAAACTGCCATTTTCCTATGGGCCACATCTGCCTCCATTTTATCCAAGGCAGTAGTACTGTGTTCCTCTGAGGACATATCTCTTGCCCCTTTCTCCCCTCTCACTTGTCTCATAGCCCCTGCCTTTGTCCCCCTGGGGCTAATAATTCTCCTTTTTGATGAGAACTTGGTCTTGGTGTATCCTTCCAGAAAGTTCTACTGAAGGAAGAAGAATGAGGGGTTGGGCCAGCACCGGGGCAGGAGATTGGTAGCATTCAGTAAATATGTCTGGTCAGGATCTAAGAACTGGGGCTTGAGGCCAGCCTGGCAAGGGCTCAAAGGGCTTCAGAGTGTGTAACTTCAACAACTAGGCACAGCAATTTCTTTCTGGGACTTTTGGATATCAGAGTGAAGACCTTCAGTTTAGAGGAATCTGGCCTGATCTGAGTGTACCAGGGGAGGGGAATGTCGGAGTTTTGCTGGAGCTGGTTTTCTAGGTATATTTCTTAGGAAACTCCGGGTTGGGATGAGGATGTGCAGCTGGAAAAGAGGAGCTTACTGAATCCATGCCCAGCAGGTTCAGGGCAAAGTGCGCGCAGTTGCTGCTGATAGCATTGTACTCAGGAGGATCGTTGTCCATAGCTTTTCGCACACGGAGCTCCAGGTCCTTATGGTTAATGCCACCGCGTCTGCGAAGCACACGAGAGAGCTTTCTTTCTCTCTGCATTTGACGGAGGCCCTCTTTGAACACTTTACCTTCGTTGTACTCCAGAAGCGATTGTAGTGTGCCACCTACACCATTCTTGGTGGTTACTCCTGTGGGGATAGCGGGCCCAGTGCAAATCAGAGACAACATTTCCTCAAACTGAAGTCCCACATCCGGGCTGCCCCGCCCTCTTTCAGAGACAATTTCATCCCAGTTTTCATGCCAGCTCAGGCCTCTCTTGACTGGCCGAAGTCATTTTCGCTCACCCTCAAAGTGTATGATCTCTCCTTTGCCACAGTAAACACCCACGTGGGTCCCACAGCACTGTAGACTAGAACTCAACAACTTGAACAGGTAGAGGTCTCCAGGCTGAGGCTCTCCTTGGCTCAACTCCACCTCCTGGAAGTGCTTGTTCAGGAATGACTCAGAGAAGAAGAAATTGATGGTGATGGCTGCCTTTGGTAGGGTCTATGAGGAGAAATATCACAGACTGTAGGTTGTATGTATAGGCACAGCTGGGTCATTCTGCTTGTCACAGATGGTAGACCTGGCTTGGGGTAGGGACCTATGCAGAAGGACTTCACTGCTTAACACCTTCCTCCCTTCCTTAAGGGATTCCAGTGGCCTGCAAACCACAGATGTCCCCTTCCCTGAGCCACTCTTAAGGATCCCATACTGTGAAGCAATTGGGACTTCCTTTTCACCCAGGGTTATCCACATATTCCCAAATCCTGCCACTCTTTTCTACTCCCTCTCCCGGATCTCCTTCCTCATCGGTCTTCCATCTTGGTATTCCTACAAGCAACACTGGGTTCTGGGTGTCGGCAGGTACCTGGGTTGAGAAGTGGGCCTGAAGAAACAGGAAAACTTCAGTGAGACCATGGTAGACACCTCCCAAGTCCAATAAAATCAGTAGCCTCAGTCACTGCTTGTTACCATTCTCGAGATAGGTGTAGTATTCTTATTTTCAGGAGGAAGTTGAAGACTGTCAATTTCTATAGTGCACACAGTGACAATTCTATGTCCCATATACTAAATTAATACTGTGGCATTTTCTTCTGATTTTATAAGGAACTAAAGCATCCAGTTTAGTTTCTCATCTTTACTGGGAACAGAGGGCGCTGGAAATGTGGAAGGATGATTTCAGTGCCCTGGTTATAACTGAACATTGGTTTAAGAGGACAAAGAGAGAAAGAAAGGGAGAGAGAGAGAGAGAGAGAGAGAGAGAGAGAGAGAGAGAGAGAGAGAGAGAGGAGAGAGACACTATTGGGGCATTGCTATAAAACCTGAGAATAACAAGTGATCCCTCACCCCAGGCATCTTTGTGTCCTTGTGCCCTTGGTCAAGGGTCATTCTAACATCCACCAGATAGGGAGAACACCTTCCTCCCAGCTCCCCTCCCATCCCATACCCACAGGGTCAAGCAGAAGTCACAGCTATGGAAGGCAGTGGATTGTCCTGGCCCCTGTTGAGTCAGCTGGTATCCTTCCTGGGGAGGAGACAAGATGAGCCAAGGACTTCTGCTCTATTTACCTTGGATTTGGAGGTGCTCATCTAGGGAGAGAAAAACCAATCATGACCACCAGGTTCATCCCCTGTTCTCCCTGCTCTGTCTGCTCAGTATCTGGGTGTTGTACATAAACCTGCTCTAGATGGCTGATAACAGATTGAGAGACCTGTCACCTCTCCATATGGGACATCAAAAAGTCCCTTCTTTCTGGACCTCAACTTCCTCATCTGTAACCTAGGGATAATAATGTTGGTGAGCTGGGCATCACCTGACCACTGTGAAGCACTGAGAGCTCCTGTGATCCTTACCAGGCCTGAGGGTTTATCTAAGCTTTATCTGAGGTCTAGTTGGCTCCTGAACTTGCACATTTGCCTGCAGCGGAGGGCTGCAGAGAATACCTCTATCTCAGCTCAGAGGACAACGGGTCCCAAAGGCTGGTATTGTTCCTGTGACTCCTGCTTCACAGATCAAAAGGAATCACTTAACTGGAAAGCCCAGATTCTCCCTCAAATTTCCCACTAGTGTGGGGGCTAAGGGAAGAGAGCCACCCTGGCTGCCATCAGCTGGGCCTTTGCCCCTTCACACAGGGCTCCAGGTCCATGGCTGCTGTTCCACCCATAATGAAAAATAATACTTGTTGCCAAAGCTATATGAAGGCTCCAGTTAGCCCAACAACAATGTCATGTAGATCCTACTGTCGTTCTCGTTTGGAAAAAGGGAAAAATGGGTCTGGGGAGGTTGTTATGGTTACATCTAAAAAGCGGTAGAAGCAGTGTTCAGACTGAGCTGATCCGACTTAACCGGGGTATGGGACTGTCTCTGGAATGCCAGGATATCTTGAATGATACATTGAATGCCACCTCCAGCCCCCACCATCTGTTTACTTCCTGACTAGAGGAGCAGCTACTATTGTCTTTAGCATTTATTTAGTTGTTAAAAGTAGAAAGAGCAACACCCTGGAACCATCAGAGTCTGAGAGAGAAGTTTTCCAGTTCCACAACCCAGGGCCTGACAACACTGCCCACCCTGTTGGGGATCCAGGCTTGGAGTCCTGAGTCCTTCCTTCTGTCACCTTGGCTATCAGAAACAGAGCAGTGTCAGGGTGTCACACTGACTGGCTTTGGAGTCACTGCTCCCAGCCAGGTACCTACAGCTAAAGCAAGGTCAGAGAGGAAGCCCACCTCTTCTGACCATTTTCCCTTTCTGGGGGCCCCCATCACTGTGACCCCACTGGAGTCTGAGCCCATAGTGTGAGCTGCTCACCTTGTAGGAAGATCCCAGGAACATAAAATGGTAAGCCTAGAGAGAGGTGAGCTGACAGCCTGCAGGTCTACGAGCAGTGAAATGTTAACTTTGAATAATGGCTTTTACCAGAAATTCTGTCATAGGTTAAAGATTAACTTTTAATGAAAAAACCCTGCATTACAACTGCAATGGACCAAGATTAACCTTCAATATCTGCTTATATGTTACTCTCAGCTTTTCATTTCTTTAATCTGTATTCACTGCCTATATGAGACCTTCCACCTCACATTTTCTTGTATCCTTCTCAGCTAGGGGGCAAACATCTGTATCAGGACAGCTGCAGGCTTCTCCAAACACTTTAAACCAACACCTTATAAGCAGAAATTGTTAATTTTAAAATGTAAAGATGTCTCTAAGCTTAACCTCAAGATTGTTAAAAAAATAATAATATTACATTCATCCCAAATCTGATGCTTAGTTTTCACTATAAAAAGAGGCTCCAAACTCATTCCTACTGCTTCAGTATCAGAAACCGAACTTTGACTGTTGCCCCAGATAGCTGATAAGCTTCTTTTTGCCCTGCTTCTGGGTCATAGACTTTGGTTTCTGTTCCCCATTATTTAAGCATCTCCAGGACCCAACAGTAGTAACCACACTTAACTCATTGTGAGGACAAATTTCTATGGATTTGGCAGATAAATTGGCTAACCAGGAAGTTCTGGGGCCAGATTCTGGGCACCAGTGTCCTAGGCAATCTGAATGAGGCAGCACTTCCCCTATGACCCTGGGGTGGGCAAGAAGTCAGAGCCTGAGGAATGGGGTCCAGATAGGTAAATTGTAGTGGCATTTAAATTGTATTTTAATAAATGTAGACTGTCTGAAGATCTGAGAGTAAAACAGTCCCACTGGTCAGCCTTAAAGACCAGGTAATGGTAACATACACCTTTACTCTCAGTAACCGCAATGACTTGCACCTTTAATTCCAGTAGCCACACTGGTTGCCATAGAAATTTGGTGTTGCGTGCCTTTAATCCCAGCAGTGCACACTTTTAATCCAAGCCTTCAAGAGGAATATAAGACAGGGGGAATTAGCTCTCAGACAGAGACTCATTCTGAGCTTCCTGGAGGCAAGATCATCATTATGGAATGAGGTTGAGGCAAGAGTCAGTGGCTGACTGTTTTGCCTCTCAGATCTTCAGGTTTAACCCCAATTTCTGACCCTGAGCTTTAATTAATCATGTTTCAGTAAATGGCTCCTCCTTCCCCTTCATTCACCTTTCACCATCTGATATCTGACCTCGATGACCGCCCGTTCTCCTCAGCTCCCTTCCCTCACTCTTCACTGGCCTTGGGGAACTCAAGGCTTCATCTCCACGCTGCCTTGGACAGAGGACGGGAGCTAGCTTTCAATCCCCATGATTATTGAGGGTTTGCTGTATGCTCTGTTCTAGTGGACACGCTTTGCACCCTTGTAAGTGTATTTTGCAGGTATGGGTGTAGTGTTCTGGGAACGCACCTAGGTCAAGGTGGTGACAATATTTCTCAAATCACTTCTGACTATGTTAACTTTACTTTTTTCCCACAGTTTTCTGTCTGTTAAGAGAAATGGTAAGATTTCCTGCTAAGTACAGGGGCAGAACTGTCTCCCTTTCATCCTATAGATTTTGCTCTGTGGAGTTGGAAACTCTTATTACATCTAAACCTTTTATGACTGTGGCATCTTTGGTTGAGCTACATTTATCAATATGAATGTCCCCCACAGCTCTGCGAATGCTCGAGTTGAATGAAGTCTTGATCTAACACTAAGCTTGCCAGTTGCATCCGTGTCCTTTATCACTCATTTGCTTTCCTTTTTCCCGTTGACATGCATTCTGTTTGTGTCTTTGCATTTATGTTTGATTTGGAGATGGGAGTCTCACTTGTTGCTCAGGCTGGTCTCAGCTCTAGGCTCAAGTACACACTATTGGCCTGACTTTATGTCACTGTGTTTTAAAATCATACATAATAGGATATATGGGTCTTCCTTTTCACTCCAGAAATAATATTTAATGTGGTAACTGATATGGTTAAACTTTGATCTACCATTATACACCTGTTTTCCTTTCTGGTGTGTGTGTGTGTGTGTGTTCTTTTGTTCTCTTGTTCTTGTCTCCTTTAGGTATATTTGAATATTTTCACTAATCACTTTAAGATGTGCATGTCAACACACACCTGTAATCCCAGCACCCAGGAGGCTGAAGTAGGAGGAACTAAGGGTTTGAGAGCAGCCTGGGCTACATAGTGAGTTCCAGACTCACCTGGGTTATAAAACTCGTGTTGTATAGTAAGACTCTGACTCAAATAGACTCCACTTTAATCATCTGCTGTCATTTAGCTCCAGTTCTTTGTCTTATGCATTAGCAGTATCTTTAGAGATGACAATGGAACTAGTTTTCCAGCTGGACAGTTAGCTTAATTGGTTAGCGCACAGCGCTAATAATAAAATAATGCATAGTTTACACAAACTACTTAGTTATAGAGCTTGCATCTGCACAGCCAGTGTAGAGACCATCGGTGCTACAGCCTTGGTCTCACCATCCCTGCCTGTCTTAAGTCATGTTTGTCATATGTACACAATACCCCTCACAGCATTTTACAAATTTTGCTTTGAAACGCTGTGTATGTTAAGAGAGAGTAAGGAGAGTAAGGATGCCCCTCATAGTTGCATGCTTGAAGGTCTAAGTGTTTCTCTGATACTATTTCCATTAAGACAGATGAAATTTCTTCAGCATTTCTCATGGCTGCTCCATTGTTTGGGGACCAGCAAGGAAGCAGTCCATCATGGTGGGAGGGAATGGCAGAACAGAGTTGCTCACTTACAGTGACCAGGAAGCTGTGACAGAGAGAGAGAGACCAGAGGTAAAGATGCCCTGCAAAGATGTGTCCCCCACCACACTGCCCAGTGACCTGCCTCCTGCAACCACACCTCCCCTCCTAATTATTAGCGCTGTGCGCTAACCAATTAAGCTAACTGTCCAGCTGGAAAACTAGTTCCATTGTCATCTATAAAGTCCTTGCTGGACTGATCATTGCTGAGTGCAGCATCCTTGGACCAGTCATCTCTCAGTGGCCAGCCTTCTGAGTGAAACTTCCTAGTCAGGCTGGAGTAATTTCTAAGGCTGCCCAGGGCTGTTTTCATTCTTTCTTGGAATTGTGGTTTGTTTGTTTGTTTTCTGTCTAAACAAATTATTTTGAAAGAAACAATTGGAAGCTCCAATATTATTGCTTTACTTGATCTAGTTTGTTGTTGAGGTTTTTGGCTGATGTCTATTTTTTAATTCATTTTATTTATGTATTTATATTTTCTTTATTATTTATTTAAATTTTTTGAGATAGCATTATTCTGTATAGTCCTGGCTGTCCTGGAACTCACTCTGTGATGTGGGACTTCGCTGTGTATGCTGTGAATATGTTTTATTGCCAATGATTAATAAAGAAGCTGTTTGGGCTCTGTAGAAATGTCAGGTGTCGCCGGGCGATGGTGGCGCATGCCTTTAATCCCAGCACTCGGGAGGCAGAGGCAGGCGGATCTCTGTGAGTTCGAGACCAACCTGGTCTACAGAGCTAGTTCCAGGACAGGCTCCAAAGCCACAGAGAAACCCTGTCTCAAAAAACAAAAACAAACAAAAAAAATGTCAGGTGTCGCTTGGATTTGCTGAAATGCTGTTTGAGGTGAATCCAAGTCAACTCGCTAGGGCTTAAAACATTGATCCTTTCCCATCACCACAGGATCACCCAGACACCCTCCTTCTATCTAATCTACCAGGAAACACAGGGGGTTGATTACTGAGCACAGTCATTGTAGAGTTAGTACCTCTGGGGTTCTGCTGGTTCTCACCACACAGACATGTTTGGTCCTCTTGAACCACCAGCACTGGGGGCAACCGCTGGAAGTTCTGCAAAACTAGCTAATTAGGAAAGGTCAGTGGGTCTCCAGAAACATCCCATGGGAATGAGGAGGTATAACAATGACACAGATTCCATGAGTGAGGCAGAGAAGTAGCACCCAAGGGTCTTCAACTCGTAGCACCCCAGGAATTCAGAGAAGGTTGATTTGGAGATGGCACAGGCTGCATAGTGATTTATGAAGCCTACAGAGAAGGAACCACTTCCTGTTTACTCAGTATTATTTCCTTACTGGGTCTCTGAGGGAGTTGAAGATTACATAGCAATAGTTTTCCTTGTTTACCTAACATAATAAACAGATAGTTATGATATAAAGTAATTATGTACAAGAATTTTGACTTACCAAGATAGGATAGATATGGAACATTTTCTCTGAATTTATCAAACACAAATGGACTAGACATTGCCTATGTATTTATTGCATATATATATATATATATATTGTATATACTCATTGTACTTAAACAAATATAAGATGTGAGGAAACAGCTCTCACACAGTCTCATTCTGAGGTTTCCTGGAGGCAGGATCTCCATTTTCAGACTGAGGTCAAGGTAAAAGCTAGTGAGTGGCAGCTTTGTCTTTTATGGTCTTCAGGTTGAACCCCAATATCTGTCTCTGAGCTTTTGTTAATTGTTCTTCAGTATCTCATTCACTTCCTAATCTAAGTTGCATTACCAAAAGTATATCTTAATGTCTCTCAATGTATACACTGTTGGGACATTGTTCTAGATGAGCAGTCATCTTATCCTCAGGTCTCATTTGTCCAGTGGTCTTCAGATCCCTTAGATGGATGCCTTCATTCTCCCGAAAGACAAAAGCAAAACCCTGCTCCAACCCTAACTTTGGGGAGGTTCCCTTTTGGCAAGGTACATCTGATCAAGTGAGAAGCATTTGTTAGTTGTATAAGTTAGTTTGATAAACTATCACCTCTTTCATTCAAGAACAAACTCTTGTTCAAATATAACCTTTACCAATTTTGATGGTATCCATAGAATTTCATCTCCTGTAGAAACAAAAGCAAAACCCCCTTCCCAATGCAACACATATTCTGATTTCCATTCTGAGGTCAACATAACTTTAAAGTAGACAGGATGATTTAATTCCGTAGTTTGTTCTTTAGCCAATGTCTCTCTGCAGATGTCATTCATTTCAAGTAAGTATTTATACAATTTAGAGCTAATAACACATTATGAAATCTATTTCTAGGGGACTTCATTATTCCTTTCTGTTTATTTTCATTTTACTGGAGACATATGCTGGAGCATTGTGAGTTAATTTGTACAGGAATCCCCATGAGAGTCATGACTGTTAACAAATGTGTGATCACAGAATCAGTCTTTTCAGAACTCAAAGAGTTTACCATTGAAATCCTATATGTGTGTGTGTGTGTGTGTGTGAGTGATATGGTGTACATATTTTAATTTTCCAAATTCTACAAAATGAAACACATCCATCTACCAGAGTTCATTCCTTTGAGTACCCTTTGGGTTAGTTCCTGCAGGTAGTGGAGTTTGATTGTATAAAGACCAAGCAGAACATTTCTTTATAATTTCCTTGATTGTCACCAGAAAAATCTTCTTTCAAACCTTTGCTATTGGCATATTTTTTATGTAAAATCTTGAGGCTTTGATCACATTTCTTGTCAATAGTTGATCAATTTCTGCATCATATTGTGCTAGAGGATCTGGCAGACCCATATGGGATTAAATAAGTGCTGTATATTTGGTATGATTCCTATTCCTAATTATGTCTTGTAACTGAATAAATAATAAAGTCAATTCTGCATGATCATGACAGTATAGGAAGGGATTTGAGCCATTTTACATACATTTCCTAACTGGTAACCTGCCTCTCCTGATTTATTTGCATCAGTATAGAATGTAGGGGTTCCAGATAGTGGTGTTCCTCATACAATGTAAGGAAGATCCAGTTAGTTCGCTTTATAAAGTGAATTCTCTTGCTTTTGGAATAATTGTTAATTTCTTTCAAAAACTCACTGCAAGCTCTTTGCCAGTGTTCAAATTCTGCCCTTAATGAGTCAATTTCATCATTTGTAAAGTGTACTGCAATAATTAATGAAGTCCCAAATTTTCTTTTAGAAGCAACTCAGAAACTTTTTGCACAAAAGTTTTTCGTTTCTTACTCTGTTCATGTGGTTTTAAAAAAATCCATTCTAAAAGAGTATCTTCCTTCTGCATTAATATTCCTGAAGGAGAATGCATAGTGGGTAAAATAACCAGAATGCAATTAAGCTCTGGATCCCAATGATCTACATGTCCATACTGTAATTTTGTCCCCACCAAAGCCAATTCTCTCGCAGTCAATTCTCTTGGACTATTTAAGTACTTGTCAGCTTTCGAGGTTTGGAACAAATTACTCAGTTCTGGTTTTGTTACTCCAGTAGTGGCCATGGATGGTCAATGTCTCCCAGCAATCATTGAAAGTCATTAAGAGTCTGCAATTTATCTCTTCTATGTCCTCTCCAAGGATATAGAATTACCACTTGCCCAGCTGCTGGTTCACAGTTGCTCAGATAGATAGAAGAATAAGCCAGTTCACTGATGATTTTAATACAGGAAATTTACTGTTTGTGTTTTACTCTAAAAACCAGCAGAAGAGATAATTAACCACATCCCAGAGAAAGTCCCAATACCCCCAATCAGAATGGGTGTTAACAGCATACTCCTGAACTGATAGTTTAGTGTAAACTCCAGACCTAGGCCCTTGGAAACTGCAGCTTCTGGAGAATATGCTAATCAGATCAGGAGCCATTAGCTTTCACCTGGCTGTTTAAGTAGGTTGCCTGATTACCTAGTATCCTCTCTGTATGATGGGAAAAAAAGCAGAGTGCCAATTTAAAAAACCATCTGTGCCCTATTCATAATTTTACTGAAAATAAACTTTCCAGCTCACCATCTACAACTATAGCGTACACACTAACCACCCCTCTAGAATCACCTGATGATCTAATTCCTTTCCTAACTTTCTCCACTAAGTAGTTCACTGGACCTACACTATCCACTCCCACCTTTAAGCTGAAAGTCACAGGTCTGCGTGTGTGAGTGTGTGTGTGTGTGTGTGTGTGTGTGTGTGTGTGTGAAAACTCTTATCTGATTTTTATGGGGCAAAAGAATCCCAGCCCTGGAACCAGGTAGGGCTGAGGAATTGCTGGTTATAAGGGCATATATGACTAGGAATATTTGTAATGGGTAGAACAAGGGAGAAAAAGGAAGAATAAGGAATAAGAGAAATAAAGAAACATGCATCCATGGATCCTGTTGTGAGTAGATTTCTTAGCCCTCAGACTTTAGCCCCCTTTGCTTATTGTGGTGTCCTTGATTGAACCCTGAGAGGGGTATCTTAAGAGCTGGACTCATAGGAACCACATATATAATTATTGTATGTAAGCAATGTGAAGGCAAATTTTCCTCTGTCTTCTTCTTGTAAAAATATAATGAATAAACACTCTTCTAAATCTACAACTATAAGAGACTATCCTTTAGGTAATAGAGAAGGCAAAGGAATGCCAGACTTCTTTTAAGGGATTGTTTTTAGCAGCCACCCAAGCTGTGAGGCTTAGCATTGCCCACCCAGAGTGAGAAACAGGGTCACCTTTTCATTGGCAATAAAAAGCCAGGGGAATTCCCGCTAGGTGCTCCTGCCTGCCTGAATCCCCTTCTGCAGAAGACACTTTGCTTGCCCCTAGTGTTTTGGACTGTGTGATCATTTCCCTGAGATCCCAGACCCATTTCTTATGTGTGTCCCTAAAATGGAGCCAGCTTCACCCTCCCCTGCTGACCCTAGAAGCTGAATGGCCACTGCTTCATTCTTGCTCCTTCAGAGCAATCTGTGGTCTCCTGTTCACTGCTGTATTGCATGACGAGCAGGTCTACACGGTAGGCCTCTAATAAATGATTGCTATTGAATTCATGAACGAATAAATGAGTGAGTCAGAGGTCAGGGGCTGAACCATACTTTAGACAAGCAGGGCTGAATCACAGCGCAGCGAGGGGTGGGGTGGGGAAGAGAGGGAGAATGAGGTGAGATGGGGGGAGGGGGATGAATTTGTAGGAGGAGCCAGTTTCTCAGTCTACAGCCTGAGCTTGCTTCCTGGAGTTGTCAGACTCAAACTCCATTTCAGGACCTCAGACAACTCCACCAAATTGTTTTGGGTTTGGTGTTTGTTTTTGTTTTGTTTGTTGTTGTTGTTGTTTTGGTTTCTCTATGAGCCGACACACCCAGCTAATAAAAGGCTGCAAAGAAGAGACACACCAGGAGCCTTCAGCTGTTCTTTGACCCCTCCCCCACCAGCCTTGGGTCCCCTGTGTTGCTTAAGGAGAGGTGGCCTGCAGGCTCCTGGGCGCTGTCCATGGTGCCACTGTCAGTCGCGTCCCAGGACGGGGCTTTCCTAGCTCACCCCTTATAATCAGAGAAGATTCCTGCTTGCCGGGTCGTGGCCGTATTCTGGCTCCCCGGTGACAGCCTCCCTCTTCTTGGCGGCCAAAATGGGTCTGCGCTGTAGGCCGAGGAAGCGACAGAGCTGGGCTATGGCCAAGGCAGGGGGCGCAGGCCAAACTCCATGGAGACATAATCTACACAGAAGAGGCTGCATGCAGATTCAGCAATGTGGGCCGCGCTCTGAGATTCTTAAAGGCACCTGCGCCAACCGCTAAGTGCATGGGTTGTGGTGAGCGGACTTTAGGAGGTGGAACAGTGCCTGCCACGCTCCTGACAGTGAGCTAGGCTGCTGGGCGATGACAGCACAGCCTTTGAAGGGCTATGTACCTCCTGCCAGCAGACTTGGTTACCTGACCTCCCATAGTCCGCCCACCCACGCCGTGAAGAAATGGTGAGTTAACCTGAAAAAGGCGACACCGCAGGCACCAGATGAAACACTGACCTTGGAGAATTAAGGACGGTACCTTTCCAATCTCCATTTTCACACATTCTAAATCCCTCTGGGGGCCACCTGCCTACAAAGGGGAAAGCTTAGCAGACTCCTGGAAGAAGTGGATTTTAAGGGCAGGCTGACCCCGGAAGCAAGCACAAGGGCATTCTGGGAGCAGAGCAGTTCCACATGGAGCAGAGAGAACAGCTAACATCCTGATTAGGTTTTAGAAAATACTTTAATGATTCTTTCTGAAGCCTCTTCTGGCCTGCTCAGGAGGGCCCACAGTCACGTTAATCCATGGTTGAGTCCTTGTCCATTTATTTCTAGGAGGAAAAGAAGAATTAACGGACCGAGTTAGGGCCTAGTCTAACCTCCGGGTCTCAGGGGCTTCGTGATTCCTGGAGCTTAGTTCCCAAGACCCAAGGGAGGGAGAGAGGGAGGCAGGGAGAGAGAGAGAGAAGGAAGCAAGGAAGGAACTGGTCTGGATGGAGAGAAAGCCCTAAGCTAGGCTGATGCGTGGGTTACATCTCTTTGGGCTAGAGTTTTGGGCCTGGGGCTGAATGGTTGGAACCCCCAGTAAGGCTTTGAGACTGGAAGACTTCCCAATGGCTTTCCTGATTTGTGGAACTAGGGTTCTCAAAACCCCAATATCAGAATTTGTGGGCTGGTTGGAAATGGGGGGAACTCAGAAAGGAGGACCCAGGGACTGGCATGGGGATGTACAACTAGAACAGAGGAGCTTACTGAGTACATGCCCAGCAGCTTCAGGGCAAAGTGCACGCAGTTGTTATTCTTAATATTATAGTGAGGAGGATCTCGGTTCATAGCTTCATATACACGGCGCTCCAGCAACTTAATGTCAACGCCACCACGTTTGCGAAGTACACGCAAGAGCTTTCGTGAGCGCTTTAGCTGATGGAGGCCCTCTTTGTACACCACACCCTCACAGTCTTCCACGAACGTTTCCATTAGACTCTTAGCTGTGGAGATAGCAGGCCCAGTACAAATCAGAGCTGGCTTTCCTCAAACTGAAGTCCCACTCCCTGGCTGCCCCTCCCCTTTTCAGAGACCTACAATTTCTTCACAGTTTTCACCCCAGGACAGCACATCTGTGACTTGGACAAATGTGGTTTTGCTCACCCATAAAGTGTATGATCTCGTCATGGCCGCAGTAAACACCCACGTGGGCCCCAAAGTACTGGGCCTTAGGAGTCAGCAACTCAAACAAGAAGAGGTCTCCAGGTTGAGGCTTCTCTTTGCCTAAATCCACCTCATGGAAGTTTTCGCTTAGGAACTTTTCATTAGGGAAGTAAGCAAAGCTGGTGGTTGCCCCTCCCTGGCTCTAAGAGGAAAAAAGTCTCAGGCTGCAGGCTGTGTACACAGGCATAGCTGGGTCGTTCTGCTCATCACAGATGGTAGACCTGGCTCAGGGTGGGGACCTAGGAAGATGGTCTTCACTGCTTAACACCTGCCTCCCTGCCCATAAGGGACTCTGGAGGAAAGAAAACCACAGATGTACCCTGCTCTAAACCACCCTTAAGGATCCCATACTGTATAGCAATTGGGACTTTCTTTTCACCCAGGGTTATCCACATATTCCCAAATACCGCCACTCTATTCTCCTCCCTCTCCCAGTTCCTGGATGGCCTTTGTCATCTTCCATCTTGGTGTTCCTACAAGCAACACTGGGTTCTGGGTGTAGCAGATACCTGGGATGAGTAGAAGATCTGAAGAAACAGGAAAAGTTCAGTGAGATCTGGACCATGGTAGACACTTCCCAAGTTAAATGCAGTAGCCAATGTGCACGCATTCACTCCTTGGTACCAATCACAAGATAGGTGTAGTATCCTTATTTTCAGGAGGAAATTGAGGAATGACGAATCTTGCTACAGTACACACAGCTAACCTGTGCCCATGTGACCATCCTGCATCCCATGTACTAAACAAATACTGGCTTTTTTTTTTCTCTATAAAACAGAGGAATCCAGTGTAGTTTCTCATCTTCACTGGGAACAGAGGGCGCTGTGGACGTAGAAGGATGATTTCACGGCCCTGGTTAAACCTGAGCTTTGGTTTCAGGTGGGGGGCCATTGAGACATTGCTAAAGGTCCTGAAAACAACAGGTGACAACTCACCCCACACATCTCTGTGTCCTTGTGCCCTTGGTCAGGGGTCATACTCTCTAACATCCACCAGATAGGGAGAACACCTTCCTCCCAGCTCCCCTCCCATCCCATACCCACAGGGTCAAGCAGAAGTCACAGCTGTGGAAGGCCATGGACTGTCCTGGTCCCTGTTGAGACTGCTGGTACCCTGCCTGGGGAGGAGACAAGATGAGGCAAGGACTTCTGCTCCATTTACCTTGGATAAGATGAAGCCCATCTAGAGAGAGAAAAACCAGTCATCACCACCGGATTCGTCCCCTGTTCTCCCTGCTCTGGTGCTCAGCGTCTGGGTGTTGTGCATAAACCTGCTCTAGATGGCTGATAACAAATTGAGAGACCTGTCCCCTCTCCATATGGGACATCAAAAAGTCCATTCTCTCTACTTCAACTTCCTTATCTGTAACCTGGGGACAATAATGTTGGTGAGTTGGGCATCACCTTACCACTGAGAGCTCCTTGTGATCCTTACAAGACCAGAGGGCAGGGCTTGTTTATCTGAGGTCTATTTGGCCCCTGAACTTGCTCATTTGCCTGCAGTGGAGGGCTGCAGAGAATACCTCTCTCTTAGCTCAGAGGACAACAATGGGTCCCAAAGGCTGGTATTGTCCCTGTGACCCCTGCCTCACAAAGGAATCACTCAACTGGAAAGCCCAGACTCTCCCTCAAATTTCCCACTAGAGTGGGAGCTGAAGGCAGAGAGCCTCTCTGGCTGCCATCAGCTGGGCCTTTGCCCTTCATACAGGATTCCAGGTCCATGGCTGCTGTTTCACCCATAATGAAAAATAATACTTGTTGCCAAAAGCTATATGAAGGCTCCAGTTATCCCTGACAACAATGTCGTGTAGATCCTACTGTCATTCTCGTTTGGAATAGGGAAAAATGAGGTTTGGGGAGGTTGTTAAGGTTACATCTAAAAAGTGGTAGAAGCAGTGTTCAGACTGAGGTGGTCTGACTTAGCCAGGGTATGGGACTGTCTCTGGAATGCCAGGATTTCTTGAATGATACATTGAATGCCACCTCCAGTCCCCACCATCTGCTTACTTCCTAACTAGAGGAGCAGCTACCATTGCCCGTAGCATTCATTTAGTTGTTAAAAGGAGAAAGAGCAACACCCTGGAAACACCAGAGCCTGGGACACAAGTTTTCCAATTCCATGGCCTAGGGCCTGACAACGCTGTCCACCCTGTTGGGGATCCAGGCTTGGAGTCCTGAGTCCTTCCTTCTGTCACCCTGGCTTCCAGAAACAGTGGCAAAGTGTCCCTGTGACTGGTTTTGAGGTCACTGCTCCCAGCCAGGTACCTACAGCTAAAGTAAGGACAGAGGGGAAGCCCACCTCTTCTGACCATCCTTCCCTTTCTGGGGGCTCCAGTAACTGTGATTCCACCAGAATCTGAGCCCGTAATGTAAGCTGCTCACCTTATAGGAAGAACCCAGGAACATAAAATTGTAAGCCTAGAGAGATGAGAGCTGACAGCCTGCAGGTCTGTCAGCAGGAAAATATTAACTTTGAACAATGGGTTTTTGCCTTGCAGCCACCAGCTTTGTCTGCAACCAATTGTTAGCTTTAAAGAGGTTATCCTTGCCTTACAACTGCTGTGGACCAAGGTTGACATTTAATGGTTGCTTCTATCTTCTCATTTCCTTAACCGTTAACTACTGCCTCTACTTTATCTTCTTCCTTGCACTGTCTTATATACTTCACAGCTGTGTCAGGACAGCTGCATGTTAAACCTTAAGCCAACACGTCATAAGCAGAAATTGCTAATTTTAAAATGTAAACCTGATTCTATGCTTAATCTCAAGATTATAAAGAAATCCTTTTGTTCCATATGTTATGGGATAATACCCTTATACACTATAAAGATTTGTCACTCATATTGATTTAATAAAATGCCAATCAGTTAGTAGTCAGGCAGGAAATGTAGACAGGGTGACCAGACCAGGAAAATTCTGGGAAGAAGAAAGACAGAGACACAGTCACCAGCCAGATGCAGATTAAACAAAATGAGAATGCCTTATGAGAAAAGATACCAAACCACATGGCTAAACATAGGCAAAAATTATGGGTTAAGTTGTAAAAGCTAGTTAATAATAAGCCTGACCTAATAGACAAAACAGTTTGTAATTAATATGAAGCTCTATGTGTTTCTTTGGGAGTGAATGGCTGTGGGATCAGGTGGAACAGAAACTTCTGTCTACTTCCATGTCTGATACTTAGTTTTCACTTTAAAAAGAAGCTCAAAACTCCTCCACATTGCCGTCATATCAGAAACCCAAACTCTGATTGGGGCCCTAATTAACTGATAAGCTACATTTTGCTCTGCAGGGTCTGGAATAATGTTTGCTTCTGGTTCATAGACTTCAGTGGTCTGTTCCCCATTATTTGTGTACATGGCTTTATGTCACTGTGTTAAAAATACAAGCATAATGGAATATATTTTGGTCTTCCTTTTCACTCCAGAAATATTTAATGTGTTAATTGATATGATTAGTCTTTGGTCTACCGTCATTTACCTGTTTTCCCCTTCTGGGGTGTGTGTGTGTGTGTGTGTGTGTGTGTGTGTGTGTGTGGTGTATCCATGTGCTCATGCCTGGGTGCTCACTTGTGAAGTCCAGTGGTTGAGGTCGGATGTCTTCCTCCATCACACTGCATAAGATCCACTTCTTGTTTCATTTTCAGAGAAGATAATTTCGGTGTGTGGTCATTTTGCTTTTGATCATGTGATGCTCCTAAACAAATTCTATTTCAAATTGTAAATAAATTTTTGTGTAAATAACACGGGTAAAATACTGTAAGACCAAACATAAAAGGGCACACCTGTACTCCCAGAGGCTGAGGCAGGATGATCTTAGTTGGAGGCTAGCCTGGTCTATGTGGTAAGAGCCTGTCTCAAATACAAACCAACACAGCTGAAGGAATGTTTTGTTGGTTTTGTTGGTTTTTTTTTAGAGTGTATCAATGAGCAGAAATGAATAAATAATTTGTGTATTAACAATGGAGTGGCGGGAAGAAGGAAGGAAAAGAACATAAAGAGAGACTGGGGTAACAGACACCCACAAATCCTCTTACGTGGGCTATCCCCAGACAACCTCAGTCCTCCCAACTGAAGCAGGTTAGGGGTTAAGGTTCCTTCCACCCTAGTCTTTGATTCATATCATAACTGCTTGAAAACAGACCACTTTAATCTCTGTCAGGTGCTGTAAGAGTGGTCTATTTGAGATGACCTGACAGCTGAACTCGGGGAGTAGCTGGCGTGGACGGCATGGCGACCTTTGCTGCTTGACAAAGTGCCAACTTTCAGTATTGCCGTGGCACTCCCCCAGCATGCTTTCGCTTTCGTTTCTAATGATCCTCACTATGTGTTATGGGAGTTAAAGATTTACTAACTGGACACACCTGATGCCAATGATGGCAAGTGTATAATACAGATCCAAAGGATGTGGTCATTACAGGCAAGAGTTCAGGTAATAAGGATAGTGAAATCAGAATAGTTCAGTATAATGGGAAAAGAGCAAGATATCAGGATCTTCCCTTTTGGGAGCATCTGAGGGGAACAGGCCCACACAGTAAGACTAAGACACAAAGGAATGAAGAAATTCCACCGATGTAAGAGGCACCTGGTGGAGTTACTGAACCTTGGGGCACACTAGTCATTTAGATAGTCTAAGATGCTGTGATGAAGTTAATGGCCACTTTTGACCCTGAACCATTAAAACTGCTTTCAGTCTTGCTTGTGGCTAAACTACTGCACAGTTATAGCATATAAAAGGTGTAGCCTTTTATCAACGAAGTGGTAGCCATCCTGATTCACCCTCAGATCATGTCACTCTCCTCCCGCCCTTCACTGACTCCACACCTCCTCTTTGGGACCTGAACCCGCTGGAGCTAGACTGTGGCAAGTAACAGAGAAACCCACTGTCTGTGGGTTCCCAGTGATACTGAGAAAACAGAATATGTATTTCATGAAGTTTACCCCTGGCCTGTTGCAGGCTAATCACCTCTGTTTAGGGACATGTGTGTGTGTATGTATATGACATGGCACACACAAAGAGCTCAGAGTCTCCTGTTTGTGCCTGCTATCTGGAGGTTGGAATGCTGGGATTACAGATACATGCTACCACGAGTTTCTGGGGACCTTAACACAGCTTTTCAGGCTTGTGTGGTGAATGCTTTTCCCTACTGAGCCATCCCCATAGCCCTGAGAGTTTCAACTTAGTTCTAGTTTCATAGAACTGTATGTGGTAGGGTGTAGAAGGAGGCTGCTTGCTTGTTTCCCAGCCACCCAGACCCGAAATAATCACACAGAAACTGTATTAATTTAAACACTGCTCAGCCTATTAGCTTAAGCATATTTCTAGCTAGTTCTTACATCCTAAATTAACCCATTCCTATTACTTTGTATTTTACCATGAGGCTCATGGTTTACAGGTAAGATTCCGGCTGGTGGCTCATGTCTTTCTCCTTCCGTGGCTACATGGCGTTTCTCTGACTCTGCCTACTTTCTCCCAGCATTCAGTTTAGTTTTCCCACTTGCTCTATTCTGCCCTGCCACAGGTCAAAGCAGCTTCTATGTTAACCAAAGATAATAAAACATATTCACAACATTCAGAGGGGAATCCCACATCAGATGGGGACCCTGCTTTATTTTTCCTCTACCATTTGACAACAAATAGATCCAAATCCATTGATTAAACAACATTCTCACTGGTCTCCGGCATCTCTCTGGTTATACAAAGTGTCTGTTCCTGGACCTCTAATTTGTTCTGTCATTTTTTCTAGCATTGCACCAATGCTACATCTTTACAATGAGAAAGGCAAACAAAATCCTTGCCACTACAGGAGAATCGCTTCAAGAGTGTAGGTCAAGTCAAAGCTTTGCTTACCTCCTAGCAGTTCAAAAACCATATTGGATTTTAATTTATGTATCTCAAATATCATGTTCTTACTGAAACCCTATTTCCTTGATATTTCTAATTACCTCCTTGTCAAAATGAAAGATATGCTATTGTATATGCCTGTGGCTGTCATCCAGTATCTAAATCTTATTCTCTAGGCATCACCCAAACCTCTGGCATCCTCTTGTGGATCCATTAGTGTTAAAGCTTGCTGCATTGTATTTCCTAGGTTGGATCCTTTTTACTAGTTTCACATTCAATTCCCTCCAGAATGTATCCCTAAGTAACTGACGGTCAATAATGTCAAGCTGACAGGTTCTAGAATCAGCTATGGGACCAGCCTCTAAGCATGCCTGTGAAGAGTTATCTAGATCAGGCTGCTCTGAGGATATTTAGGAGCGTCCCAGGCACTCATATGGGTGGCACTATATATGTGCAGTCAAAACATCCATATACATGTAAAAAGTACTTTTTGGACTGGGGTTGCTGCTCAGTGGCAGAGTACTTCTCTAGCAGGTATGAGGTTCTAGGTTCAAGCCTCAGCATCAGGAAAGAACAGACTTACTAGGTACCTTTGGAGACGTTGCTTCAGTATCTTCTCATACACTTTTCTCTCCTAAAAATGAGATAGATGGCAATTAAGGTCCCACGTCTGTTTTGGGTAACCTCTATTTTCCTTCTATGGAAGCTTTTAGGTTCTTTTTAGCTTTACAAAATCTTGTAAGGATTTGTAGTATGCATATGAGTGCACTTATGTGTGGTTGTTTGGTATGTATGCACACTGTGTGTGTGTGTGTGTGTGTGTGTGTGTGTGTGTGGTTTAAATGTACTCTGCTTAGAATCCTCTCATTATAAAGGCTCAGCCTCTCACTGGCCTGGACTTTGCTCATTAGGCTAGGCTGGCTGTCAGCGAGGCCCTAGACGTCTGTCTGTCTCTGCCTTCCCAGAATTGGGATTACAGATGTAGGGTACCTCCCCATTTTTTTACATGGATTCTAGATATCAAAATCAGGCCTTCATGCTTGATGCACACACACTTCACCAACTCAGCAATCTCCTAGGCCTCACCGGTAATTTCCTTCCCTTTTCTTATGTAGGATTGGAGTTGGGAGAGCTAGAGAGCACATAGCATTTTTTTTAAATGTATTTATTTATTTATTAAAGATTTCTGTCTCTTCCCCACCGCCACCTCCCCTTTCCCTCCCCCTCCCCCAGCATTTTTTTTAAATTTTAAACATGATGTTTATTGATTCATGAGAATTTCACATCATGCACCCCCAATCCACTCATTTTCCAGTTCCTCTGTGTCCATTCTTCACCCTTGTAACATCCTCCCCAAGGAAAACTTAAAAAACTAAAAGTAAAAATAAGTAAATACAAATAAGAATAATAATTAAAACAAATAAACAAAAAAAACCCAACAAGCAAAAAGAAAAAAGCAAAAAAAACCACTTCAATACTGCATCCTTCCTGCCTCTCCCTGGTCTTAGCCGCACTGGGGGCTGCAGTGTGTCAGGCAGTAGACCCTTTTGTCCACACAGCTTCACTTGCAAACGTCCATTGTATAGAGTGCTGTTGGTCAGGTTCTGGCTTCTGGCATCCCATCAATGCTGAAACCTCACCATACCCTCTCCCTGATATTCTGCTGTTGCCCTGAGTCATGGAGATCCTGCAGCTATGGTTCCATAGGGCTAATCCCTTCTTGTAACTCCAGCAGGTCATAGGTGGGGGTGGATGTTGGGGGTTCCAACTCTAAACCCTGGATGTGGGTCTGGGTGATAGCTGAGTTGGTCAGTCTGGGCTGCTGGAACCCTGCCCCCTTAGGTGAGGGGTGGGGCCAGCTTTCCCAAGTGCAGAAGTCAGGGCTCCTTTGAGAGGTGGGGTCAACGACAGGGCAGGACCACTTCTCCCCAGGCCGGTGAGGGGTGGGGCCAGCTCAGTATGGCCCTTGTACTTCACACATGGTTTGACACATGGTTCAAACATAGGCAGTGGACATCAACACAGACCCCGACATGGCCAGCAGCAGCATCTTGGGCCCAGTTTTCACCATGGCCTGGGTGATAGATTGGAATGGGCCCATCAGTAGCATGATCTCTAGACTCCAACATGACTCTAGGTAGAGCCCAGACATGGCAGTGGCATGGCCTTCGATTGTAACACAGGAGTCAGGGACATCAGTACAGACCCTGACAGTGATAAGCCCATGAACCCAGACATGACCCTGGCCCTGGGTGGTAGTGCAGGCTACCTAGATTAGCATGGCCCAAACAAGTACATGTTCCTCTGATCACAACATGGACACAGGTGGTGGCCCAAAAGCCATGCATCCTTGTGGCTTTTGGTGGCACCATGGGCTATGGACATCGACATGTCACCATGGCCCCTGGTGGCAGCACAGGCTCCCCAGATCAGTATCGCCCAAGCAGCAGGGTGTTCCTCACACACCAGCCTGGCCCCAGGTGATGGCCCACCACCCTGGGCATTTGCATGACCCTTGACGATAACAGGTGCCTTAGATATCAACATGGATCCCAGCTTCAATAAGGCCATGGATTCAGACATGGCCTCAGCTGCAGCCTGGGCCTGGATGCCTCCATGGCCCCAAGTGACAGTGCAGGCCACTCAGATTGGGGTGGTCCCTTCAGTGGCATGGCCCTCAGGCAACAACATGGCACATGTGGTGGCTCAGGCCTCGG